ACATGATAAAAAGATGCAATATCAAAATGTAAACAGTTGACAAAAGTTAATATTGGCCCATATATGAAGATAGATTTGTACCAATAAGCCAAATTTATTACATCACTTGGCTGGCACAGAACATGGATTGAAATGATATTTGATAAGCCACAAATTTTAGAAAAAAAAATCAGCCTTCAAGACATGAGAGGAAAGTATTTGTCTTCTTCCAATTTGGATTGTTTCCAAGGTACACAGTGATCTTGTTCCTGCCAATGAATTTACAACAGGTTATAGAAAGGAGCCTGTCTAAACAATTCTGTTTTGCTAAGATACACATGATTGTACTCAAATGAATCTTTGGGTATTTAGCTCATAATGTTATTTACTGAAGTCAGGCTAGACTATTTCTCCAACTTTTGCTTTTTGTAGTTCTGTCTGAAGATCCGTAATCTTTTACTGTTTTTCACTTTTGTTTTCCTATTCCTTGATAGACTATTCCAAAAAGTCTTTGATCCCCTGCTGTTTCTTTTTTGATTTAGAAATGCATACAGGATCTTGCAGGTAGAATCTTCTTTACTCACATTCCATATTGATGCATATTCTAGTATGAATGAGGTCATCAAATATGAAAACCCAAGGCTTAATTTGTATATTGTGTCTGGAATTTCATCTCGGATATCCTCATCATGTTTTGAAATATTGCTTGACATGATTGGCTCAGAAGTGTGTATATATCCTTTATCATGTCCATTGTTTTTTGGTTTAGCTATGAATCCTCTTTTCCCTTTCTTCCATATCTCTTCTGCTTTACTGTTCCAGTCTTTCCAAAGACTACCTACCAATGTGACATGGCTTGGATCTTTCTGTTTCTGCATGTCTTTCTCCCATTCCTCAATGAAGCCACTGGTGAAACGTTTACTGTGACTGGACTTTGCAGAAAATATTGCACGGTCACAGTTTGGTTTTCCATGCACTACACGCAATGCACGTGCCACTGGATGCAGATAATTTGTTTGACCAAGAACTTTTGCATCTTCTTCCTCTTTTTCTGTTGATGAAGTCATGGTGAGTCTGGGATTTGTAATTTGATAGAATATATCTGTAGTCCAAGCCAAAAAGCTGGCAAGATTCTGATGATGTATCTTTTCATCATGAGGTAACATAAACTTTTGATGGTAATCTGCAAAAATGATGGCAGCCAGTCTCATTGCCTTTTTTGATATCTGAGAATGCGGACCATGTGAAATCACATGATAAACAAAAGGGAGGAGAAGTTGCTCATTCCAAACATTTTTTGCTTCTTTCACTACCAATTTATCCATTCCATCTTGTAGATTACATATAATCTTACTCTGCAGTTTAAGAACACGATCTTTTGAAATATATGCAAGCTTTCTATCTGGTTCATGAGAGAAAAAATCAGGGATTGAGATGATGGGACTGTCCATTATTTTTGTTCCTTGTTGTACATCATCACTCATTCTTAGGTCACTAGAACTCTCAACATTCTCTATCACATGATTTGACATCTCTTTATTTGGCTGTGATATATCCATGTGTACACACTCTGATGTGTGTTCAGATTGTTCATAAGTTGACTCTAAACCTTGTGCTGATAGGCTATTTGAGGGGTTTTCCTTCTGATAAGTATTTACATTATCTCTATGGAGCTCTTGAGAGGATGAATGATCAGGTTCCAAGATAGAGCCTTCAGATGATGCTTTTTTATTCCAACTATATTTCAAATGACTGGATGAACACATTGATTTTCTCTTTGGAACAACATTACTTGACTTTTCTGTGTTGAAAGCCACCCCTGAATGTTTGTCAACCATGTTTTCAGAATGACTTGTAGCCTTGACTGGTGACTCTATCATTTCCTTGTGATAAGTTTCCAAATCTTGTAAAAAATCTTCAGCATGATCATCATCTAGGCTTTGAATTTCTGGGTGATTTGCAATTTCCTTTTGTTTTCCAATTCTGAGTCCTTCCTGGTAATTATCATTTGAGGGGAGCTCTGACCATTGTGACACATAGTGCGAGATCTCTGGCAAGATTGGTGTTAGGATGGAGTCCATTGATGACCAAAAATCCTCATAGTCTGTCCTTGAGACTTCAGATGCTGCATCCTTTGTCCCAGTAATTATGTTTTGGTATGTGACTGGAATCAAGATCATCATGAGAAAGATAATCAAGTTCAAAGGAGAAGAAAGATGAGGTCTTGAGGGGTTCTTGGACATTATGACTCTTGATTCTTCCAAAGATAGAGAAATATTGAGGTTTATCGAGGTTTACTTTCAATAATGATTGATGTAGTGTTTGTGGTACTCAAAGTTGTCAAACTAAGAATCTCAAGTCAGTCGACATCTCTTGCTACAAATTGAAACCAAGTTTCAAACTAAATTAAACTCCATCAAGATACAGTATTATGGTCAGTTTCGACAAGAAACTACTGACACCGATGCTACATGAAGTAGCTTGAGATTCTCAGTTTTCAACTTTGTCTAACCCAATTGAAACAGGTACAAGAAACTTGTGTACTACAGAAATAACCCAACATATTCAATATCTTTTCAGGTGCTTTCATGGAAACGCTAGGGAAATATAACTGTCTCCTACTGGATATAACAATTTATGAAACAAAATAACCAATTCTGTATTAAATCTGTGCCAGATTTCTATTTCTGTTGTCTGTGAGTTGACTGCTTCAAAATTTGTAGGCATTTGTATTGAATACATTTTCATTACATTGATTTAACTTTGTATCCCCTAATTATTTAATCAGGTGCCATCATTACATTACATTTTCTCTTTTTGTCTTTTTGTGTTTCTCTTATACCCTGAACCTTTCTGCAGTCTTAGATTTGTTTTTCTTTGTCCAACTGTATCCTTCACACTCTTGTTATCAGATTCATCAGAAGTTTTTCTTTCTCTTTGATCTTATACAAAGTTTGGTTTGGGTTGTTTTCAGTCCAATACTCTGATCAAATGAGAATGGGTGATATAAGCAAACATGTTTTTTGGAACAATACAGTCAACTCTGTTCTTTCCCATACCATTTATGAACAGCCAACTCTGGGCCAAAAGGCAAAATTATACAAGGAAAAAAGTATAGGTTTGGTTAGAGTATGGTTTAAGACAAGTATGAGAAAGATCAGAGTGTATGTCCCAAACTTAACTAAGTCCCAAGACTGGACCTAACCACCAACTCCAGCAAGGGACTTACACCTGTGAAGGCAAGCTAAAATTACACAAAAAACATTTTATAAGGCCACCAGTTTTTGGTGAAAAGCCCCAACAGATCTGACACCAAAAAACCAACTCTAGGTTCAAGTCCCTGGCCAGAGTAGGTGGTTAAGTCCAGCATTGGGACATAGTCAAGTTTGGATCTGCAGTAGGTCCCACAGATATAAAATCTGAAATCATAACTTTTAAGATGAGTTAAATCAAATCAAGTATCATATGATCATACCCTCAGGTTTCCAATCTCTTTATGAAGACCATAGGGGTACACCAACCTGAAAACCCCAACTAAAAACCCATGGACAAAACCCATGACAGCCCAATTGTTTTTTGGGTTTTGTCCAACGGGAAAGCGGAATACCCATGGACAAAACCCAAAAAACAATCAGGTTGTCATGGGTTTTGTCCATGGGTTTTTAGGTCAGGTGTTCAAGTTTGTGTACCCCTAATGTACATAGTTGAATCTCACTCAGTGTGCAACACCCTGATGTGTTACATACTGACTAAGGCTTCTACTAGCATTTTTGCTCATATGTAAAGAAATGCAAGTCACTCAGTTTGGAGCAGGAGCCATATTTCTTGAAAAGGTTTCATCAATGGATTTTGAAGTCTTGTTGATTTCTGAAATCCTATGATGGTCAAGCTTACTCAATTTTGTCAACTCAAGCTGGTCCATCCCTTTTGTCAAGTCAAATCTTCAAAGATTCTTCTGTAAATCAAAGATTCACATACATCAAACCTCAACTCAAATCTTGACTCAACATACCCTCTCATCACCTCCCAAAATGATATTAAAGTAAATAAACGAAACAAAGTTTCAAAAACCCCATTTCTCAGAACCTCAAATCATTCAAACCACTCTCACTTTTTTTTCTTTTTTTTCAAAAAAAAACCAAAACCAAAAAAAAAATCAGTTACAGAAAAATAACTCTAAATCAAGACCAAAACCAGAAAAAGAAAAAAATCAACATATTTCACCAAAAGAACAAAAACAAAAGAAAACAAAACAAAAACAAAAACAATCCAAAAAGAAAGAAAAGATCAACAAAAAAAAATTGAATGAATATATGATCATCATTATTCATCAATTATATATATACCTAATTCAAAGCAAGAGATCAAAAGAAAATCAACCAGGACACACAAAAAAACTGACATTTTTTTTCTTGTTAGGAATTTGTTGGATAAAAGGAAAAAGGAAAGAGAAGAAAAACAAACAATTTGAATCTCAGTCTAAAATGAAGATGAAAAGAAAAAAAGGGTATTAACAAAAGGAAGAAGTAAAAACTAATTATAAAGATTTTAAAAGAAAAGAAAAAGTAAACACATTTCTAAACACCATCTGATTGAAAGGGGATATATATATTTTTTTGAAAAAAAAAACAATGGAACAAACACGAAAAAAACCAAACAGGAGCACAAAAAGGAGAGATCATATAAAAGATAGGTAAGCATATTGAATTTAAACTTTATTCATAATTATCTGTTCAATTTTTTAGTGATTTTTATATATATCATGAACCCTCAAAAAGTGATTAACTATTATTTTGGTTCTTAGCTTCTTTTGATTAAAAGTGATAGCATAGCGAAATCGGTCTTGAAATCGAAAAATCCTGAGCCATAGTCAGGGTATCGGGGTAGGCAAGGACAGTGACCTTGAGGGAGCCTATCACCAATTGGACTTGTGAGCTGAGTGAGAATAAAGAATGTCAGTGTGAATTCATAACGAGATCCGTAACAAAAAGCTCACCTAAATACCCATCCCAGAAATCGGTTTAAGCCGAAGCAGAGAGTTCTCGAGCAGAAGAATCGATCTCAAGAGACTTGATCCCTTCTTCAACCGAAGTGGTAGAGATCACCTCCACAACTTTAGCAGGTACAGGTGTCGATTTTGATTTTGGTGGTGTTGGTTTGATATTGATGGAAGCACCTCGAGCAGCGGCCAGAGCGAATGAAGCTCCTCCGATCACAGGTACTTTGCGTACATTTAATCCAGGTGAATCTTTTGTTGAAGTAGCATTAGTCGAATTTGAAACTTCACTTCCACCTGCTCCACTGTTTGAACTAGTTTCATCATCATTTGATCTTCTTTCTACTTTACAATCTGGTCCAACTGGTTTTTCATTGGTAGTAGGGGTTGAAGTTTTGGATCTTAACAAGGCTGGAAAATCTTCACCATTAGGGACTCGTTGAGTACGATGGCTCGGTGCAGTAACAAATTTGAGATGAGATGGTCGAGATGGTGCTGGAAAAGCCCTGTTGTTTTTGTGTGGAGGAAACTGATGACCAGGAAAATTGCCTTCCCTTCGTTGTTGAACTATATCATCAACCTTTTGCCTGATCGAATCGGATGAAGACGATTTTGATTCATTGGGCGAGATGCCTATTTCTTCATTACGTCCCACTTGCTCATCACCTTCACGCTTCTCCTTGGCCGATGCTGGTCCTGTTTTGTACTTCTTTTCCCATAATGCGTATCCTGGGATGGAACGAGAATCGAAGCATTCGGCCTTACGTATCATCTTAGCACCAAAACCTACTTCACTACCTAACACGCCATCTTTGGAAGGTGCATTTGGTCCGACATAGTTCAATCTGTACTCTTTAGCATCATCACCATTAGGCATAACATGAGCCCAGAGACACTCATCACCAAATCGACATCGATTCTCAGCAAAGAATGAGCAAGGTCCTCTTGGTCCGCGTTCATCGAGAGGCGTAACAGGTAAACTGTTGGCACCTCGAATAGGACCAGATGCAGATGAGGATGAGCATGGGTGGGCGGTGTGAGGGACAGGACCGTGCAGTTGTGATCTATGAGGACCAGGGTTGATACCATTGGTGTTAGGAGAGAGACGGGGGCGAAGTGGTCGACTACCTCCCCCACGACCTGCATGTCCTCTTCTGAAGTTACCGTTGTTACGTTGGAATCGAGGGAGCGGGCCCAAACGAGTAGGTTCAGTTGAACGACCGGCATTGGTCAGCGCGGAGGGAGGTCCAGATCCAGCAATGTAGGAGTTGTTAGTAGAGTGAGGGGCTGGATGAGAAGGGTAAGGTCCTGTGGATGGGGAGTATCCTTCCATGGGTCGCAGAGGGGGCTGGTTGCTTTCTTTTGAGGTTTTCATAAAGGGACGAAAGCCATCAGTGTCACGTTTGAATACCATCAGATAGTGTGAAATATACTCACCCATAGGATGACATGGCAATCCATCGTGGCTAGGTGGCAAGGGGAAGGGATTCTGTTGAGGATAGTATACTGGATCCTGTGGCGAGTGGGGGACAGGGAGTGGTGCTGGGCCGGAGGAGTTCTCGGGAACTACCGGAACCGGATGGGGGATCGGGTAACCATTGAAAGGTACATCACCCATTGGAGGTGCTTCGTAATAGCCTGAAGGACCATGTGGAGGCATGGGTCCATAGACGCCCTGAGGTGGGATAGAACCAGGGAAGGAGTAGTAGGCATTGGAATGGGCATTTACCGGAGTTCCAGGCGCGTAATCCATAGGTGGTGGGTTACCAGGCGAAAATCCGTAAGGCATTCCAAAAGATGGAGGGCCAGAAGGATGATAGTTTTCATGATCCGCTGGTAAGGGAGCAGATTGAGAATGGAAACCTTGAGGGTCAGTAGCTGACAATCCTGTCGTGGTCGTAGCTGAGGCCAAACTGTTGGGTGGAGGAATCGGTGCATTAAAGATAGGTTGATTGTTGGAAGGCATAGGACCGGAATCGCAATATCCATAGTACCGGTGTACTGCGGCTTCCTCGTAGCTTTGAGCTGGATGAGGTCGAAAAAAACCAGATGGTGACAATTCAGGATATGTTGAAGAGTCGATCGGGTTAGTACCATTCAAGCTTGCAGGTAACTGAGCCACAGAAGATGGGTCATGAGAAAATGCGCATGCATCGCCATATTTGCAGGATCCGATAGCAAAGAAACGACAGGGAGTGTTCTTGGCAATGTGTGGAGGTGGTAAAGATCTAGGTAGAGCTGGCGCATCAGAGGCTACAAAGTACGATCGAGACAGAATCAGCTGTCGATCAAGATCGATAAGATTGAATGAGATAGGAAAACACAAACTGGTATCTGTTACTGCCTTGGTTTGATCGAGCACTTCATTTAACACTGGAGCGCTGGTTGATGGTTGTGAATCATTTGCAACGTTGACTGAATTCAGAGAGTGATCGACAGGATGTATGCTAGGCGTATCCAAAGCAGGGCTTTGACTCGAATGATCGAGTTCCGCGGTAGTACGGTCCATTTGAATTTTAGCTTGAACCTTTAACTGTTCTATGGTATCAAGACCGGGGTCGTTGGCTTGTGGAATTTGACTGGCAAGATCGATGGCCATACTTTCGTCCAGGTTTGAGGTCTGAATGATTTGACGATTGATGATTGAATCAAGGATGATGATGAAAGATGGATTCAAAGATTTCGATATGTTGATGATAGACGATCAAACTGAGTGAAGAACTGGAAAAAATTAAAAAAAAGCAGAGACTTTGGTCAATAAATCATTCAACAGAGGTCAAGTAAAATTGAAAGAAAAAAAGGGGTCAAGAGGGTTCAAGGAGGTGGATGTATGCGCGATTAAATGCCCAAAAAAGAAAACCCACAATAAAATCAATAATGGAATAGAACGACAAATTGAAATGAAGCTATTAAAGTTGATTAAAGAAAAGAAGAAGAAAAAAAAAGGGTCAAGAAGAAATGAAGTTTAATTAGCAAAAAAGAAGAATGTGAATAAGAATTAAAGTAGAGAAGCAAACCAAATCAATCAATCAAGAGATGAGATAAGAAATTGAAAAGATAGACATACCAATATTATAGGAAAAAGAAGCAAAGGTCGTGAGGGTCGAAAAGAGGAATGGAATTTGTAATAGGAAGTTGAAAAAGATTAATTAATTCAAAGAGAAGGTTTTGATATGAAGAGAAGTTTGATTTTGAAAAAACTCCTAAAGACAGAAGAGAGAGAGAGAGGAAAGAGGAATGGGCTCCAGAAAAACCAAAAGACTGGGGCAAATTGAATTAAGAGTGAAAATTTTGTAAATCAGTGATAAATTTTCGGTGTGTGTGTGTGTACAGAGTGTAGGAGAATTGAATTGAATCAGAAAGAAAGAAATGAAACAACAAAAAACTTTCAATCGATTCCAGTTTTGGTGAGTAAAAACCAAATCTGTGACACTTGTGAGGCAAGACAAGCTTAAAAAAGATAGTTTTAGGGTGGAAGAAAGTGGTATTTTAACAACGTCCTGACGACTACTGATAGACTGTATAGGTTGTATTCTTGCGCAGTAAAGTCAGGGGACGAGGATCGATCCAAAATAAAAAGACTAATTTATGTAAGGTGCTTTTAAAGATGAATCTGAAGATGGACGTTTTAGAGTAGAGAGTAGAGAATTGAGATTTAGAGAATGGGAAAAAGAAAAAAGCTCAAAGTTCAAGGTAGTGGATGTGGGAAGTGGATGGATTGATGTCAATCAGGTAAAGAAGAAAAAGTGGTTTCAAGTCTTGGAGATAACAACCTTTACAAACCGAAAACCTCTCTTCAATGGATTTTGGTTAAAAAGCTCATTACCAATCCATGATCCCTTCCACTTGCATCAACTTTCAAACCCAGTGAATTTTTATCATTCTTTCCCTATCTCTCAGGGGTACCCGAGCATTATAAACCACTTCAAAACAATTCCTATAAACCAGTACAAGTATACAAAACCCAACACGCAACCACAAAACAATCAACAGTCTTCTCCAAAACCCGATATACGTTTATCAAGAAATGCTATGATATCAAGAACCTTTTGAATCCAATCAAGATTCAAGATCTTTCGAAATGAAAAATTAATGAGTTTGTTTGTTATCAATCAGTTCCTATTTTTAGTTTGTCCAAATCTCATCTCCCGGGTAATTCGATATCAATTGACAGGAATTTACATACGCTACATTCCTGGTCTATATTGGGTCGATTAAGTTTACAAATAGCGCATACATTCAGTTTGTCAAACAATGCGGTCAACTTGTGGTTTGTACTTGTAGATGTCACAGTTCATGGAACTCAGTGTCACAGGTATGTCATCCTGATTTCACGGGTCTCACACTTAAACCATACATGTATGGGTATATACAATTCTGACACCATTTTGATTTCAGTGACAACACACCTGCGTTCTGGAACTTGTATGATGATATGTATGTATGCGCCCGTCCGCATACAAGTTGAACGTAAAGAAACCCATTCAGATGGAACAGATGATCGAGAAACCAAGTCCAAGAAAAAACAATCTTTCAAATTGAACAAAATTGCATTATTCAAATCTGATTTCAAATCATGCAAGAATCAAAAAACTTCAAACATTGAATATGTATGTTGTACATAGTATACATACAATCACTTTTTCGAAAGTCAAATATCAAACATCAAAAGAAAACAAAAACAAAAAATCTGGTTTCTTATAATATAATCATGAACCAAGTTTTTAAAAGTAAATCATTCAAAACCAAGATGCAAAAAAGAATCAACTGTATAAAAAGAAAATTACCAAAAAACCCATCTTGGTGATCAGTTTGTTTTCAAAAAGATCTTAAAGCTTTTGAAAAGATTGAAAGTGCATTTATAATTCCTTCATTCATTTCTTCATTTCTATTTCTATTTGTATTTGTATCTGTATTTGTACTTTCATTTATATTTTCACTTGTACTTATACTTGTATTTTCACTTGAAGGTTGATCAGTAGTAGTATTACTTAATGAATTTTCCTTTCCTTCTTCTTCTTTTCCTTCTTCTTCTTCTTTTTCTTTTTCCTTTCCGTCTTCTTCTTCTTCTTCTTTTTCTAAATTTTCTTCTTCTTCTTCTTCTTCTTTTTCTAAATTTTCTTCTTCTTCTTCTTCTAGATCATCAACAATCGCAGGCACCTCATCATCCACCTAACCAATCAACCCAACCCAAACCCCCAATCAAAATCAATCAGAAAAAACCCAAAACCCAAAACCCAAAAAGCCAAATGAAACCAAACATACCATATCACCCACAACGAAATCTTCTTGGTTTGTATTCCAAGATAACTCAGATATAACAAGTTGTTGAGATTCATTTGTATCTCCTACTGTTGGTTTTTCATCCTCCTATTCCAAACACCCCCGCCCAAACCCAATCGATCAATCCATCAGAAAAAAAGACAAATAAAAGACTTGAAGAGATGAAGTGTAACTTACCGAATCATCTGAATCAAAGGTTTCTTTATTGATAGTTGAAGTAGAGACATGTATTTCAGGAAGATCAATTTCATCGATCTCATCAATTTCTTCTTCTTCTTCTGCTTGTTGTTGTAATCTCATTGGCTCATCATCAAGTAACTCATCATCATGATTCGAACCAGATGGATCGACTTGATCTAAATGGTCTTGGATCACCGGGTCTGATAAATTAGGTGTATCACAAAGTGCTGGTGTATCTCGTATGGCTGGTCCATCTGAATCTTCTTCTATTCTTACACTCTTGACTCTTTGATCATTCTATTATCATCATTATTTCACAAAAAAAAATTAAACTTTTTAACAATCCGTTCAAAAGATTGTTAGAGAATATAAGATCGAGTGAGATGATCTTACGTTTTGAAGGTCCTCTTCGTTATCAGAAGAAGAAGAAGAAGAATCTCGAACTTTTCGTTTTCGGTTTCGGTTTCTTAAAGGATTGGATCTTCTTGGTTGATTTACTTTTTCAATAAACTGATCCTGTTCTTTATTTTTCCTTCGACTTGGTTTCTTCTTAACTTCTTTTCTAAAACCAGTACTCGAACCAGAACTCGAACCAGAACCAGAACCAGACTCACAACCCAACCCCATTCCAGATCTTCTCCCCATACGACCTCCTTTCTTTCCCCCTCTTTTAATCGATTCATGAACCGATAAATCCATCAAGTTATACTTTTTACTAAACATTTCAAACGTAATTCGTCTAGCAAACTCAAACACATTACAATACTTTTCAAACTGAGTTATGGTCATTGGATTAAATTGTTTCCAAATCATGATTTTTTGTAAGGTGATCGGCCATCCTGATAATGGTTTGATTGATTTATAAAAGTTTAGATAGGTTTCTAATCGGCTTAGGTATACGGCTTTTTCTTTTGGTATACCTTCTGGAATCGATTTTCGGCTGGGTTTTGGCAGGAGGGTTTGATGGGTTTGTTTGGTTTTTTGAAAGGCTAGAAGACTTTCCTTTACTAAAACATTCAGAAAATGGAGTCAAAGTTAGTTGATCATGGTTTTTGAGAGAGAGAGATGAGGGGGTTTGGAAGAAGAGTGGTCACGCACTGGTACTTGAGCTGTCGTTTAATTCTTTCCATATCCCTTCTTTTTCAAACTTTTTGCGTAGACCATGTGTCTTTCGAATCATTTCGAAATCCATTTCCATTAAACTCGATTGGTCTTGATCAGATTCGTTTTCAGATGTATCAGGTGATATAATGATTGTTTCGATTACTGATGAATTAGCATTAGGTTTAGAACGCTTTGGTTGAGGAGAAGGTAAAGTAAATGTTGCAAGGTGTTTTGATATGAGTTCAATTCGAGGGCTGATCCTTGGTTCATCTTCTTGATCACATCGAGTAAATCGAACACAAAAGCTGTCTTTGGGATCCGTGCAAAGGATCGTTTCGGCTTTTAAGTGTTCGGTTTCGGTTCTTTGTTGGATAAATGTTTTGGATTGTTCTGGTGTTTGAAAATCTAATAAGCTTAATAATTCACTAGATGAGATATCATTGGGGCTTGTGGATTGGGACCATAGGTTATGGATTCGGATGAAATCTTTAAAAGTTTCATTTGAGATTAAACACGGAGGAAGAAAGGAAGCGAATGATTTGTAAGGTTTTGAATGTGGGATGATGATCGAATTAGATGAAATCGTCTTGAATAGGTCTTGGAAGCGTGAAAATTGGGGGTGAGTGAGATATTCTTGGACTTTTTGTAAATGAGATTGTCGAAGACGTGGTGGTACCATTATAGCTGAGATGATTCGCATGGTGATTGAATATGTTCGTACGGGTTCGGAATCATGATCGCGTGTTTCTGATAATTGAGTAAATAGTTTAAAAGATTTCGCAAAGTTCCCTTGATGAAAGGTTAATCTAGCTGAGCAAAGTTCACATTCACGTCTGAGTATCTAGAAACACATCAAAAGAAATGGGTTCAAAATAAGTCATCTTGATCAATCATCCAGGCTGAATTTCTTGTCAAGGAAACTTACATCGCTCTCACGTGATAAAGAAGTTGCATAAACTAGATGACTTTGTACAAGATCAAGATCATCTTCTTGTAAGACGATTGAAGCAATCCTTAGGTGAAAGATTGCTTTGATTGATTCACTAAAGATATCCAAAATAATCTCAATCAGTTTGTCAAGTTGAAGATCTGAAAGAAATTTTTGATGGATAGATGAAAATGGGTTGACTAACCTTTGAAATGAAGGTAAAGCAGTTTCAAGTGATTTGTAAGCAAGGGTGATCAGATTAAGATTAAGAAGATAATCAGTCATTGAAAGGTACATGTGAGCCATCCATTCTTCGTATTCAAGCCTAGAGTCAGGTTTAGTAGTTTGTAGACTATATAAGAATTTCAAATTAGCTCTGATTTGACGAATTTGTGAATCGATTGTCTGTTGTTTTGAGATCTTTTCATAAATTTCATCTAAGATCTTGGGTAAAGGTATAGATGAAGTTGTGTTGGGTAGATTGTTGAGTGTCCATTCTGGTGATGAATGGTTTTGAGAGTGAGTCTTTGTGATTAGATTTGTCCAATGAAGAGGAGAGTAGCATAGTTGATATGAATTGATTGATGATGGCTTGATTGGATTGAAGTTGGTTTTGTGCTGAGAAGTCAAGGTGAATTTCTTGATTGGTTCCATTTCTCAAACGCTTCGATCGACTCTTCAGCTGAACAATCTTCATGTTCTGCGCATGATGATGCAGAAATAGGCAGAAATCAAACAAAAACTCGAAAACAGCTCAGCGGGTAGTACATAACACTAGGTAGTAGGCTCAGCATACATACATACATGCTCAGCCGTCTTGGAGCTTTTCATTTTTTTTATCATGGAACTCCTCTTATCCTTTGCCCGTCGAGCTTTGCAAACTATCGCCGGCTGCAACGTACTGTGGGCTTGAGATGGAACATTGAGGGGCTGGTTACAGCAGCTACCAATGTGTGCTATTATTTTGAAGTGCAATGGAAATGTCATTATACCCACTATTTCAATCTTGGAACAATTTGACAACTCCAACAAACCTTGAAAAAGAATAAGACACTACTTGCATCCACTGATGAAAGTGAAATAATGATCCGGATTCCAATAAATAATTTGCTAGATGTCTTAAGCCAACTCACCGGTGAGCCAACTAGCAACAATATTTGGTCAAATTACCAAGCCAACAAACAAATTCTTCCATTTCAATCATTGTCTTGCTTTGTCAAAACTTACCACAATCTGTATATCAAGCCTTTCAAGGTGAGAATTTCATGATTTTCATGTTCTCAAAATGCAATGATTGATCAACAATTTATTTGTTAAAAAGACAGAAAAAAAAACCACAAGGTTTCCATATTTTGAAGGTAACAGAAAAGAACATGAATTTATTATACATTTTGATATTCTTTTATGTATGTATCTCATTGAAAGTAAAGCCATTCCATCATCACAATTTACATTTTGACTTTTATAGTAAGGACTGAGAAGTTGAACAATCTATATACAAACTCCGAATTTCACAAGTGATTTTCCCTATTTTCTCCTGGGTTTAGGACCCACTGGTTTCGGCTTGGACTCTGGATGAGGCATTGTACAATCTTTACATGCTATTGAAGTTTAAGGATGATGAGAAATGTGTACACGGTAGAAAGTCAATATATTATTTTGAAAATGATGGACAAGGGAAATATCATTACTTACTGATGGTAGGAACATTAGCCGGCGTGTAAGGGCAAAGATAACTCTGACCGCCTGAGTTTCTACATTCTATATGAATTCGACCAAAAGATTTATAAGGTGTGTGAGAAGGATACCATTTATCGAGTGGAGCTCAACACTTCAAGTGAGATAGAACACAATCACTAACCATATTTAGTAGGATCGGCTCCAGGATTGTAACTGGCACATTGTTGTTTGCTTGTTCCCGCGACTCCGGCGAGAACACAGTTTGTCATTAGAACCCATTGATGTCCTATAGATATTGTATTGATATAGAACAAATTAGGAAAAAAGATCAGGAAACTTCACAACATTGAGATTTAGATTTAGATAAGAAGATCACAATTTACATACCATCTTTTTGGCAACTGGCCGTTGGGCAATTCCAGCTACTAAAATTGTTGTCGTTGCACCCTTTGAGAAAGAAGGGAATGAATTAAAAAATTTTGCAAAGACACATTCAGGCGTTTTGCTTACCTGCTGTAGTTGCAGGCGATTGGACACCAAAGCCGTTCACACATGTTACGGTCGTTTTGGAGGATGTGAAGGAAGACTGGGTGATGCATATAAGAATGACTGCAATGATAAGCTTATGAGGTGATTGGAACAATAACATTGTGATGAGGATGATATATGTGCAGATAGGAAAAATATTGATAGGAGGTGAGATTGTTATAAAATTGATGATTTGCTACAACTATGAATGCAAAAGGTAGTGAGGAGAGCTTTAGACAGATTCGTGGAGCAGGGCTTATCAACACGAAATTTCAGGGATTGGGCTGAGTCTCGACCTTGGCAACAACTGTACTTCTGTACGTCGCACAAAGTGCCGTGACATACAACTTCAGCACATTCAAGCAGCAAGTGTCATGAGATGAATGGTTTCTTTGATTTGTTTAGAGATAATTTCTTGGAGAGGGTCCAATGAGTAGAAACTTGAAAGGAATGCCGTGATAATCCTGTTTCTTGGGCCCAGGCTACTTGCTGTTTTCATAATTTCTGCGATGACGATGATCTGGACAGTGGAGACTGTCGGGCCACGCCAGAAACTTCTCAAGTAAACGAGATGTGACCTGATTGAAAGTTCATACGCTGACACGCATCATATACTTGCATCAGCAGTGTCAGAATCATAGCAGTCCTAATGACTGCTGTAGTCACTTTCCTTATCTAAAGTAGGTTATGTCCTTGAAGTCTTTTCTCCTTTGACTTATTATGACATCATTTGTTTGGTTCATATCCTGTATTGTTGTCTTGAGGTGTCTTTCTCACATCATATTTATCTTTGAATCATTTTCTTTCAAAACAAGCTCAATGCTTGTCTTAATAATTGCGTGTGCCACCAAATCAATGATCATAGATGATATTTCGAAGATTTCTTGAGAACATGTTCATTTTGCGAATTCCCTTCGTCATTTTGAAGAAGCAATTTAACGGCCAATTTACAATTTCAAAATCCCAAAACGACTATTTCTATCATCTGAACCGGCTTGGTTATGTGCGGTAATGGCTTTGGTCTTGTACATTCTTAAATGCTATTGATGGTGATAAGAAAGGTACCCAACTATCAACAAGAAAGGTTACTGACTCATGCAGGGTTTGTGCATTCTACATGAAGATGAAAGAGGATTTATGAGATGTATCAAGATCAAATGGATCTCAACACTTGGTAGTAAAGAAAAATAAGATAGAAGAGCACGACTCACGATATTAACCAATGAATGCAGGATTGTAACTCACACATTGTTGATTACTCGCCCTGTGAAGTTTGTCCAGGAAACAGCCGTTCATTGGAACTCAACTATGGCCTGTAGGTATCACGTCAATGTAGAGTGAGCGGAGAGATTGGTCAGAAGAAAGCAAAATTTCAAAAAACAAAGATAAAGATAGGAAAATGCAAGATTTACCGTCTTTTTGGCAACTAGCTGTAAGACACATCCATTCCTGGTAAGGCTTATCGATGCACGCTTGCTTAAAGAAGAAAATTAGAGGATGTTTAGGTTATACCAATTGTAAATACCTTGAAAATACGCAGGCGTTTGCACACCAAATCCGTATATACATTTTACGGTAGTCTTTTGTAAGCGTATACAAGGAATCCGGCTGATAGATTGTTAGGAAACTGATAATTTGCTACAGCTTCGAATACGAAATGTAAGGAGAGCCCTAGCCAAGCCGTGGAGGCTGAGTGGGGTCCACGTACTTGAAAAACATGATCATCTGTGGGGCCTCTTTAACGTAGGCTTAGGTTCCTAGAGCTGTGTGTTTGGGTATGCTGTGGTAAGTTGTCGGCCAAGGCAGTTTTCGTTGCCAAGGATGAGTTCCCAATTCGTGATCATGTTTTGGTGTAATTTTCAATATGACCCTGCTACACGGCCTTGTCTGCTATCTAGAGCCCTCCTCACAATCTACATTTCCTATTTGAATTTCTACGGGGTCATCTAAATCGTTAGTTTTCTAAGAATCACGAAGCCTATCTTACAGTCGTTTTCAAAAAGCTTGCCGCTAATTCACCGCCAAATTGCTCGAGTTTTGTGGGCAAATTTCGGCAAGCTTTTTGAAAACGACTGTACCTCCATTTGCACATATCATCATCATCATCATGTTTTCTTTCTATCATAAGCTTGTCATTATATTTATTGCTATGTGTATTACTCAGTTTTATTTCACTTCCTCACAAACAACTACTGTAGAATGTGTATTAGGATTCTCTGTCTCATCGCCTGCATATTGGTCAGGTAAGCAAACTCTTTCAAGCTTCTTTCCCCCACAAAAGATCTTTAATTCCTTCTCTGCTTTCGAAAAGTGTGCAATAATAAGGATAAAAGCCAATGGGTTTGCCCAACGGCCTATTGCCAAAAAGATGGTAAATTGGGTTCTTCTTATCTAATTTTCAATCTCGATGTGGTTACGTTTTGCATCGTCCTGATGTTTTTTTCCTTACTCTATCTCAATACAAAATCTATAGGTCATAGATGGGTGCCGATGTCAAATTGTTCAATGGAAGGTGTTCCTGGGACGAGTAATCAACAATGTGTAACTACGGTACTCAAAGTTGTGTATACTTTGCCGTGTATAGTTTTTGTTTTCTTTTTCACAACTACACACGACCAGGAAAAACTATGTTTCTGGCTCAGAAGTACATATTTTTGAGCTTTGAACAAAAGACATACTTTTTCCGGGTTGTGTCTAGCTTCAAAAAAACAAAAAAAAACTATACACGGCAAAGTATACACAACTTTGAGTACCGTAAACGTATAATCCTTCACAATTGGATGTATCGTATAGTCAGTTATCCATATTCTATCTCATTCGACTTTTATTATCAAGTGCTGGTGATACCCTCTGATTTTCAGACATCTGATAATTTTTTGTTCAAATTGATATAGGATGTATAAACTCAGGCAATCAGAGGTACCTCTGCCCTTACAACAGGAATAATGTTCCTCACATCAGTAAATAATCTCTCTTGTTCATCATTTTCAAAATCATTCACTCATCTTCTATTGTGTGCCCTTTTCTATCACCCTCGGTAGCATGTAAAGAATGCACAATGCCGAAGCCAACGACCGAACCATCGGGTACACCATCAGGTGTTAACCCACCAAAGACTCATGCTCCTTCGACTGGACCATAGAGAATAGTAACAGTCATCTCTTGGATTCTGAAATTGTATATAGACATGTGAATTCCTTTTTCAATGATAAATTACATGATCAAACTCAATTGGTCAAGTTTTCAAAATGGGATACGAATGAGATTTTGGCAATGGTTCGGAATTTGAGTGTTGAGTCAACATAACTCAAAGCCTTTAACACTGGCGGCCTACAGGCATCCGATGTCCAATGTCTGCCCTGTTACAACCCAAAAAACACATGCTTCTATTCTAAAGGTCCATATCGATCAAATAAAACACAAGAAATGATAACAGGAAGATAAAGATTGACTGATCATTGAAATGAGAAGAGTATGAAGCAGAATAAAACAAAGTTCACAAAAAAGATTGTCATGAATGATCCAAACTTCAAGGCTAGGTCCGAATTCTTGAATAGTTCAAAGATGACCAAAACTTCCACATCAGGTGATCAAAACAAACAACTATCGATCCAACATCCAGATTCAAAGAAACAACGGTCAATCAAACCACACTTGAACTTGATTCAAATTTAAATAAACTTACCAAGAAGAAGACGATGATCATACCAAAGATCTTTAACATAAGCATTCGATTACCTGAGATACTAGAATAGTATTTCAAAAGCTCTCCTTGAGCAGATTGTAAATTACTTTCAATATCAGCTGTGTCTTGATCAATCCTTTGAACTTGTTCTCCTTGTTGTGCGACCATTGTTGCTAATTGACTAAAGATTGATCCTAATTCAGTGATTGTTGATTCGATCGATTCAATGGCTGTAGACCTTTGTTGAAGATATGCATCCTGTAAGATCAAACATCAGTGGTTGGTCAACTTCGCTTGATTTGATGAATGGGTAAGTCAAAATCATACAAACCGAATTGTCTTGTGTCATCTGCATTTGCATGAACCCTTCCCCTCCTTTCCCTTGGGTACTTGCTCCACCTGCTCCCATATCAAGAGCAAGATAATCATTCTGCTGATATCCAGCTTCAGCAGCTTTACCTTTACCTTTTGGATCGTACATTTGTCGATTTGAAACTGATGAAGGTCCATTGACTGAATAGAGAGGTGAATCTGGACGTGGTGATGTAGAAGCAGGAAGACGAGAACGAAGAACTTTCTAACTTTAATCAGACTCGCTCTTTGATATTTGAAAGGTTCACTAAATGGAAGAGACTGTGAATTGAGGGAAAACTGAATTGGATGTATTACCTGACTGAGGTCCTGTTAATGCTGCTGTATTTGATTGGAACTGTTCTGTTCTATCCCGCGTAGCTTTCATATTCTATATCAATACGCAAGGAGTCATAAGCAATCAATTCGAGGTAAACTTTGATAGATGATCAAAGCTTCAACATACCTGTGTCCGAATTTCGAGTACATCCTTGAATCCCAAACTAGTATCTGCCAACTTACTCTGTAACATCATCACCACATTGTTATTATGTTCATCAACTTGTTTCTTCCCACTTTGATTATTTAGATTCTGTTTGACAAAGACTTGTAATTGTGCGATTTGTTGATTGAGTTGTGCGATATCCTGTTTAATAATGTAAGTTAATTCAGAGATCTCAACCGGTCTGTCATCGAATAACGTCCTTCGTTTAGCCACTAAAAACATTCACAATCGAACCATTCAAACTATTAGACACATTTTGCGTTGGAGTCTTGTAAAATTTTGATCTTGGCTTCTTGGTAAATCAAATCTAAAAACCTACATTGTGCTAATTTACTCAATTTGATGGTAGTTTGCTGAATATCCCTTCCAATTCCACCTGCTAATTTAGCAAATTCACTTCTTCCACCACTTCCAGTCGCTGTCTTTTTTTGTTTAGAAGTAGGTGGAGTAGGTGGTGAATATCCATTTAAAAGTCGTTGTTTTTGTTCAGGTATGGTTGAAGTTCTGGATCGAATTGATGCTACACATGATTTGAATTCGTGACTTGATCGATAGATATGATAAGTTTGATTATTGAGTTAGAATTTGATGGCATGATAGAATCAAGTTAGATTTGACTTACGTTCTATCCATATTTTGGTGATAGAATGGGTTGCTTGGTGAATTGAATTGAATTGAGGATGATGAGAATGGTTGTGTTACTGATGTTAAAGTTGGTTGAGGTTGGATGAGGTTGCGTTGTGGCAGAGTGTGGAACTTGCAGCTGATTTCGAGATGTCAACAATCAAAGTGTCAGGAGTCGGACTCAGAGGGGTCGACTGTAAATTGAGCGTGACATCTATCTGACAGCTAATTGTAACCTGAGCTTTCCGGCATGTGAATCACATATCACTGGTCACGTGTCACATCTCGAAATCTCATCTCATCTCATCCCATTCTCCATCGATGGGACAAAAGGATAAGCCCAGACCTGCCCAGACTCAATCCATGACAAGGACCTACATAGTAGTAGAACCTGTAAAAGTGAATTGTATTGGTCCCTTCTGAGATGTTGATTAAGTTCCCTTTTCAGAGACTGTTTTGATATCTGGGTCTCGGTGAGAAGGGCTTTTTGCTCAGAGTGTCTTGGCTAGGATTTCTAAACTTGTAGACCTGAATTCATGGAGATCAAGAATTTGACCTGTGATTTTTCAGTCAGATCAAGTTTGAGGAGTGATTATAACGCACATATCTTCGTTCGTTCACAAGGCCCAGCGGCAAAAGTCCACATGATATATTTCCAGATGGGTATATGACGAGGGTATGTAGTCGCTCTGGAACACCAATGGTACGCTGGGAGGTGCCTTGCAACGTGCGGTGAATAGCTTTCCAGTAGGGCTGATTATTTTTCTTCATTCCGCTTCATGATCTTGATCGTCATGTTTGCCTGAGGCTATGCATACAGCCCTGCGCCCATGCTGCCGCGTGAAGGTTTTGACTTCTCCGGCGGTATAGATAAAATGCAAAAAAACTGAAGACGCGGCTATGGCCGTAAGATGCACGTCATCAACTTCACGCCAGGTGTGGTCAAGACTTTGTCTGCTATTGCGGAGCACGAAATATAAAACTGCAGATGTGCTTTACCTTTTATCATTTCCCCATCCATTCACAACACCAGCATTCCTCCTCCATTACCCAATCTTCTCCTCACGAAAACTTTGTTTAAATTTGTTCATCTTTGTTCTTAAGTTGTTTATATATCTATCAATTATCACTCGTACTATCTTCGGCTGAGTATTCTCTTAACAATCTTCTTTTGAATATATCAACATGTACGTCAATTACGGTGTCGTTGCCACTTCCATGGCCCTTTTGTTCGTCCTTGATCCCATCAACACGAACTCAGTCTCCGCAGCTTCTCCAGCCGAGGTTCCTCGCCTTCTCAGGTACGTGATCATGTTTTTCGCCCGCCCAGAAGTTATCACTTAATGTTCAATTTCACAGCCGTAGAACACTTCGTCGTCGATCCGTGAACATCGGATCTCTCAACCCTAGACAAGACACTAGGTGAGTCACACAGATACATCATCAAGCTTTCTTCAATCTGGACCACAAACTAACTCGAAAGTGATCATCAATCGTAGTGCCGCTAAACCTGCGGGTGTTCCTCAATTGGGACTTTCTGCGGGGACGATGGAAATCGTTTCAGCCGGTCTTGTCAGCACAATTGCCAAGTTTTCAGCTGATAAAGAGGCTGGAGCCGCATTTCCAAACCAAGAAGAAATGTCAAAAGCTGTTGGTCAAGCAATCGACAAAGCAGGCCTCTCGGACTTCACCAAACTTGCTCAAGCCGTCAAAACCAACATTGACGCTCTTGCTGAAAAGAAACTTGCCGAAGGCAAAGTCGATAAGTAAACCTTTACAAAATTTCCCGTTGAGTGATCCGATGACTAATTCAATCTTTGCACTTCAAGGGCTGCTAAACCTGCTCCGGCTGCCTCAACTCCTAAAACATCTGAGGATAAGATTGCGGCTGCTTTATTGGAAACTCTTCAGAAGTTTTGTGACCAGAAAGCTGCAGGTGGAAATTTACCTACAGCAGCTGAAATTAGTAAAGCATTAACCCCAGCTTTACAGAAGATCGACTTTTCCAATATTAAGAATGGTGCCGAGGCTGTGAAATCCGGTTTAGATAACATGAGTCCTGCTAAAACTCCGGCAGCGGCACCAAAAGCTTGATTCAACCTATTCATCTACCAATTGTTTGAGCTTACAATTCAGTAGGGCTGGTACCATCACTTTTGTATATTTTTGTTTTTGTTTTTGTCGTTATGTTTCTCTCATTTGTATTTAAGATCCTATTCTGGATTTATACGCCAATGTCATTTCGTTATCTATGTTTCTTGAGCAACTTCCAATTGAAAACATATCATTTCAATCATTTTCATAAGAAAACGTAAGTATCGACCGAAACGACAAAATCACGAAAGTCTCCTTCAGTAGTTTCTGTATAATCATGTATTCACTTTTTGCTTCTCTGCAACAAAAACACCATGAGATAATTCAAGTCCCCATTCGAAGCATCAAAACGTATGACTCTCCAATCTCACAAAAAGAAGATCAACAATAGAGATTTTACGCTCGTTCACTTTTGATAAGCATAGAAAATTTGAATTTACCTAAGGGGGAAAGAGAAGCAGAAACTTCTACTTGCGTGGATCTCCAGGTGTCAGCTCATAAGAATTTGGGACTCGGAGTGCGACAAGAGGAGGAAAAATTTCCTCTGGTCTCATGATCTTCCAAATTCATGGCGTTAGAGATGTCATCTCTTTACGCCTGTGATCCCTCCGGCTACACCTGTCACACCTTGTCCTCTTGAGAAGGCAATTCATTGTGTACCTTCTCAAGCTTGGAACACTACCAGTACCATTTTCCTTCCTTTCCTTTTTGTTTTTGTTGAAAGTTTCAATTCGAATTCAAAGAACGGCTTTTTGACGCTTATATTGGACTTCAAAGGTAACTCGTCTGTTCGTTTCTTCAACCTTTAGAGCGATGGCTTCGAGTGTGTTCATCTCGAAATGTCTGTGTTGTAGAAGGACGCCAACCGAAGCTAACATAGCTGATGATCGACCCTGGAGTTGGATAGCGTAACTGGAGAAATACAGCCAACTATGAAGCAAACGTAGCTAACCACAGCTACCGGATACCGCTCGCCTTAGAAAGAACGGTGGACAGGTGTTCAATGAGCTTGATGTTTTTTTATTCCGCTTCGTCTTGATCGTCGTGTTGACCTGGGGCTATATTTGAGCTGTGGCCGCGCCCACAACCACAGCCGCGTGGAGGGTTTGACTTCTTCGGCGGTACTGCTAAAACGCAACAAAATTGAAGACGCGGCTCCCAAGGCACCGTAATCGATATCATGGCAGGTGTGGCTAAACCTTCGCCTGGTAGTGGAGAATTCGGGGTATAAAACTCGAGAATTCACGACCTCAACACCTACCCGCTCTACTATTCAATCTTTCCTTGCAAAAGCTTTGTTTCAATTTGTTTCAATTTGTTCATCTTTTTTATATCTCTATCAATTATCACACGTACTATATATCTTTGGCTGAGCCCTATCTTAACAATATCTTTTTAAATATATCAATATGCGCATTAACTACAGTTTCATTGCTACTTCCATGGCCCTTGTGTTTGTCCTTGATCCCATCAACACAAACTCCGTCTCCGCTGCGTCTCCAGCCGAGGTCCCTCGCCTCTTCAGGTACGTTATCGTCTTTTTCTCACACTCAGAAGTGATTACTTAATCTCTGGTTTTATTCTATAGAACACTTCGTCGTCGATTCGTGACCACTCGGTCTCTCAACCGCAGACAAGACACCAGGTGAGTTACACAAATGTCAGACTTTTGTTCAATCTGGACCACAACTAACTCGAGTGTGATCATCAATCGTAGTGCCGCTAAACCTGCGGGTGTTCCTCAATTGGGACTTTCTGCGGACACGATGGAAATCGTTTCAGCCGGTCTTGTCAGCACAATTGCCAAATTTTCAGCTGATAAAGAGACTGGGTCCGCATTTCCAAACCAAGAGGAAATGTCAAAAGCTGTTGGTCAAGCACTCGACAAATCAGGCTCCACGGACTTCACCAAAGTTGCTCAAGCCCTCAAAACCAACATTGACGCTCTTGCTGACAAGAAACGTGCCGAAGGCAAAGTTGATAAGTCAGTCACCCTCTTGCCTTTTCAAAATTTCCCGTTTAGTGATCCGATGACTAATTCAATTTTTGCACTTCAAGGGCTGCTAAACCTGCTCCGGTTGCCTCAACTCCTAAAACATCTGAGGATAAGATTGCGGCTGCTCTATTGGAGACTATCCAGAAGTTTTGTGACCAGAAAGCTGCAGGTGGAAATTTACCCACAGCAGCTGAAGTTAGTAAAGCATTAACCCCAGCCCTACAGAAGATTGACTTTCATAATGTAGAAGAAGGTGGAGAGGCTATTAAATCTGGGTTGGATCATATGACTCCTTCTCAAGCTCAGGGAGCGGGACAAAAAGCTTGAGGTCTTTTTTGTGTTCAATTGCTTACGTAATTCTGTTTGGGTCTTGGTAAAATTCCTTCAACTTGAATTCATCTCAATGTAAACTAGTTTTTTTTAAAGTAGAGCGCGACTTCCCTTGTACCTGAATTTTACAATCCATCATACTGCATCAGAATTGTACCAAGAAGGAGAATGTACTTCTGTCAGATCTGACTGCAATATAAAGCAACTGATTTCATTGATTTTTGTATAGTCCCCAGCTCAAGATTTGAGATCTTCCATGACATTTTTATCAAGCATTCATATTTACAGACTCGAGAGAGAAGGCCTGAAAGCTTGTTTCTTTTCCAGAATGAAAAAGTCATAGATTCTTCTTATTCCCCAGGGCAGGATGGAGGCTGAGCATTGTATAGGGAGATGAATGAGCTGGTCCACGTGAGATGAAAGGGATTTCAAGCAATGTTCAGAATGAGGAGATCTTTGCATTAACCATTGATTTACTTATTGAGATATTTCATCATTCAAAATAAATGAAGAACAATTACAAAGATGAAAGACGTTCCTCCAAGTCTCATTGATTGAAACATAATTAAAAAAGACAAAAAATTGAAAAGTGACAAAAATCTATGAAGCTCGAATGATAAATTTGGAGTCACTGATTAAAGATGAAAATCCCCGAAACCAAATCCGATGATCAAAAAGGAAAAACGACTGTTGAAGAAAACAACCCACAAACTGGATTATCATAACACAAAAAATAAAGATAGTAATAGAAAGCGGAGGGTATCTCAAAATTAAGGAGACAAATGAGTGACAGAGTTAAAATCTAAACTAGTCTTAATAATACTTTCTCTATCCCAATCCGATTTATTAAATTTAAATCTTTGGAGTCCAGGTAACCAAGTTGGATTTGAATTAAATTTTGAAAGAATTTCATCCCAAAGCTTAACATCTTGATGATCAAGTTCAATAAACTCAAGTTGATTTGGTATTAAATTTAAATCAACTTTTCTATAATTATTTCTACGATCTGACGCAATTATCATTAATTTTTTTAATGTTGGACATAAACTTGAAATTAATTCCCATGCTGGTTCTTCAGTTGTGATTGGATGTCTACCATTGCAAAAATCACCATGTAAAGCTAACGTATCAAGAGATAATGATGCGCGATTAAAGAAGTTTAAGACTGATGAATAACGTAAGCCTTGAGTATTTATTAAGATCAATTCTTTGAGACTTTCACTCGTTGCTTCAAGGATACCATTTAAATTAGATTGAGCAGTAGTATTGATTAAAGAAGATGAAAATGTGATAGAAGAAATCTTTGAGTTGATGGGTTGAGGAATTGATTTGAAGCTAAAACTTGAGCTTAATTCGATTTGCTTCAACTGATGTAAATTTGTTAAAAGTTGATCAATTTCAATTTGAGAACCAGATCGAGTTTTGAAAATTAATCGTTTTAATGTTTTACATGAAGAACTAGAATTGACAGCATTTATTAATTGTTGACATTCATTATCATGTCTACCATCTATTGATATTTCAAGTTTAAGAATTCGATGACAATTTTGTAATAAATTGGTGAAAGCAAAGAAGTTGATAGACTCATCATAATTTGAGCTTAAACGCGAAAAGAAGTTGATACTTCGAATATGATAACTTAAATCTGATCTTGAACGTAATGTGGAACCCAGAGATCTAATGCAATGATGATGACTCAGGCTAATATTTCTATAAATGGCTCTTTCAGCTGAAGGTTGAATTCTTTTGCTTAAACTGATCAAGGTAATCGCAGTCTGAATTAGTTCGGATTGATGTTGATCTGAAATCACTTCCAAAAATATTTGATAAAGTATATCTTCAGGTATGTCTTGAAAATTTAACATGTTTCTGAACAAGGTGAGAACAAACAGGTGCATTAATGATCATGGTCTATGACTTTGCAAAATGGTTTTGGTTTTTTATCAAAATCTGTGAGATAAATTCAATCAAAACTTACACGATGATGATTTGAAAAATCACAGGTTTGAAAGATTGTTATCTCAGCGAACAGGAAAGTTGAGATGATATCAAGGAGAAGGAAGAAAATGATTGAGTTGAATGAATTGTGAAGAGACGGATTGAAACAAAATGTCTAGAATATGGGACCAGACAACAAATTTTTCAATTCGTGATCAATCGTCACATTTTATAGTTTTGTCAAATTAACTTTTCATTTTCATTAATAAAGTCAGAGAGATCCAAGAGTGAGATAATTCACTCTCAACCAGAATGGCGGTAGTCCTGGCAGGACCCAGGAATGCGCCTACAGAGGTATCTGATGAAACCTGTTTTTCAGTTTTTGGGCTCTACACAACACACCACTCCTTGTCTCAAGGTCCAGAGCACTTCAAAAGATGCGCATGGACTAGGGCTATCAAATGAGCCTACTCCCAGCCTCTCAACTCCCCTCAATTTCGCGCAAAATCGATTGGCGCAATTTTTTTTCGTGCCTCCAAGGCCTGATTCCGACGTTCGATTTTAAGGCTCTTTTTGACCGTTACATCCCATTATCTCAGGCAGTATTGGTGCTATGAGGCTGAAAGCTAGCTTAAACGAAAGCCTTTAATGTCACGCACATTTTGCACTACTGTAGGTGCTGTGAATGTGTCGTTTAGTGCCCTAAAAACCCGCCAACAAAACGTCGGAATTTACATCAGATACCTCTGTAGGCGCATTCCTGGGTCCTGTCCTGGCGATACATTCGAACTCGATCGCTGACTCTTGCTCCTGAGTCAAAACCTCCGAAAACCCATGAATATCTTATCCCATAACTCCAAATCATCCCTCTGTAGTTGCTCTAAAAAGCGGACAACTCGCACGAGTTCCATTCCCTCCTCTTCTTCGTCGGTCAGGTCCGACTCCCCATAATTGGACCTACATACTGCCTTTTCAAACGGCGGCCATGTCCCAGCTTTTCAAGTTGTGCTTTTCTCAGATCCAATCCTGTCTTCATGCTTTAATTCCATCCAAACAAGTCAGGCCTGTTCCCTGTACTTTGCAAGTTGTAATTTTGTCAACTCTTTCTACTTGCCTTTTTTTCGAGTATCAAGGTCAGCATGCCAAGTCTTTTTGCTGCACAGTACACCGACTTTAACGTGTATGTGCCTAATTACCCGGCCCCGGAAGTGCAGGGCCGGCCCCGGATAGACCCAAGAGAATGCAAAAACTGCTCATGGCCAACCAGTACCACCTTGAATGCTTTATAGATGGAAAGATGTGGTCAAAATGCAATAATTTTGACCTATATTGCCATCAAACGCATATCCAAATTTGCATCAAGGCTATATGAGCCTGCTTGGACATCAGAAAGAGCTATGATGGGCCTATGTTGAAAGAAAAAGCTTGATTGTTTTGGTCACCAAGCAAAAACACATTGGACACCTGGGCAGGCAGGGCTGCTGGTGGGCTTGCAGGACATTTGTGACTAAGCCCCAGTGTGACAGGGTGCAGACTGTCAGGTTCATAAAACTTGTTGGCCAGAGTGGACCGGTTGGGTCTGAGTCTGGGTCACAGCCCTAATGTGCCATGTGTCACCAACTGTGGGCCACCAGAAACGTGCAGTGATTTGGTCACACATGTGACCTAAATTTGTTGTTTGGTAAAGCCGCATGTGTCAAATGGTGCACACATATTTTTGCACATATGTGCAGAAATCATGTTTTTGAAAACAAAAAGAAGTTTTTTTTGATAGATGCAACTTCAATGGTGTGCAACATCCCTCACACTCAGTTCTAAACCCATCACAATGTGTTTTTTTGTACTTGTCCATTTTTTCCATTTTTATATTTTTCTTTCCCTGAAGAACCAATATCAACCCTTTACAGTTACCTCTTCCTTTCTTTCTAACCATTCTCCCTTTTTTTCAATGTTCACACCAATCCCAACTTGACTGCCTTGAGAGCAATGCAAGGTCAATCAAATCTTCTAGCCTAGCATGATAGTTGCTAGCTTGCTAGTTGCTAGCTTTTGCTGCAGACCCCAAATTGGTACATCCATGAAACCTAAATTTGGACATGCCCCATTTGGCATATACCAACTCCAGAATTATCTCATCCATCCAAGGTATGTCCAAATTCTATTCTCCATTGCAAGCTTCAATCAAGTCATGAATTTCAAACTTGTATAGGTGTGTAATCTTTTACTGAAGTCTTGATGGATCCATAAATCATCAAAAACTGACAGAGCAACTTTTGCTGTGCCTGCCTTGCCCAAATCTTTTGTTATACATATTGCCTTGATTTGAATTGGTTTGGATCAAATAAAATCCTACCCTGATTGTATTCATAGCAAACTACATAAACATGCATATTGCTTTCACATTGGCCATTGATCTGAATCACCATTTCGTTTTTTTAATGTCCCTTTAGATTGTTACTTAAATTCACTTACATATGTTTGTGCTGTTTGTATCTCAATATTGTCTCCCAAAAGCATCTCCATAACTCTCAATATACCTGTTCAGGATAATCAGCCATGCTCTCAACAGAAACAAACAGCAGAAATCATAATTTTATTTGGTTTAATTTCCTTGCTGAGTGACAATGTGTCTGTCAAGGGTACCACTATGCTATACTGGTTTTGGTATAGTTGGGTTTAGTATAGTTTAAACTGAACTATACTATACTGGGTATAGTATGGCTGCAACTATACTTTACCCAACTATACTCAGTATAGTATATCTGAGTATAGTTCATCCATACTACACCACAGGGCAATTGTTGAGCCAAAAGCTGAGCTCAAAAGTTGTCGTGTCCAAAATTCGGTCAAATGCTGGCCAAAAGCTGAAGTTTTGGTCAGATCTTGACGGTCAGGTGAGACCGGCTATTTTCTGGCCAAAACCTGAGCTTTTGGCTTGAAAAAAGCCAGTCGGTTGGCTGGTTGATCTGGCTGTATATCAATCAGCCTTATGGCTGTCAAAGGATGGCCGAAAACTGAGCACCCTGCCAGCTTTTCAAACGTTCAAAAAGCTGGCCTTGAGACAGTCAAACAGACCACCAAAAGATGGGTGTGGAGCAGAGTGGGCTCCACAAGGCTCCACATGATTCAAATAAGTTTGAATCACTTGTCACTGTAAGATGTCACAAGTTAATGACGATATAAGGTAAAGTCTGTGATGAACTTCATGGTAAAGACACCATCCAGATTCCTTTTGACCACCACCATCAATCAACATTGCCAGCTTTCACTACATCTTTCTCAAGACTCTTACATCAATGCAGAGAGGTCCAAACCCTTATCCAACTTGTGGAAGCCAACACTCTCAACCCAGCAGTGGGTTTAATCAAACAAGTTTCTTGACTCCAACTTTGTTAAGTTTAACATCCTCAAGGATGCTCGTTTGGTCAGCAATGTAAGTAATCTTTATATCTTTTATTCATCTTCTCAACTTGGTCATTTTGTACACAGAGTATAGTTTCCTCATCATTGCCATGGCTTCATCCTCAACCAATGGAAGCAGCTCTTGAGGTTTCTGCCACAGGACTAGGTAGTTCTTTGATCTACAAGATTACCAATACTTGACTTGGCCCATTGTGATTGAAAGAACTACAGATGGTCAAATAACGTTTACAAAACGTTCAGTGTCCCAACTCTAGATATTTATCCACATCTTTATCACTCTAAATATATACTTTTCAAAAAACATGTTCTTATCTTTTTGTATCCTATGAGCATCATGATATGTAATATCACAATTTTAATTGATTCAATCAAATCCAAAAGTGAGCTACCAGGGAGCCAATATGGGCTATCGGATCCTGACCAGTGATCCATAACGACCGGCTAGAGACCTTGAATTGACCAGCAGATGGCTGGTCAATTGACCTATCAAGAGCTGGCTTGAGCAATCTGGACGAGCTCAAAGCCGGCCGCTTGATAGGACACCAGTCGCCTTTTTCTCAGATGTTGGCCGCCAGCAAAGCCCAGCCAAAAGACCGCCTTTCCACTGACCAGCTTTTGGCATCCGGCCACCACCAAGGAAAACTGGGCTTTTGGCGGTTGTTTCTGACCGTCAAACAGTGAGTCCAATTGCCACGTGGTGTATACCAAGTATAGTTCAAGTCAGTATAGTTGGACTCTATACTATACCGAGTTTAGTGAAGTATAGTATAGTATAGTATAGTATAGTGACAGACTTGTGTCTGTTGAAACATGTGAAGGTAGAGAACGGCATAATTTGATGATTGATGCCGTTTTTGTTTTGTCGCGGCTCACACCCCATGCAAAGGGGTTGTGTGGTTGTAGACCAATTGACAGATCAAAATTTGTGGGCAGTCAGCAGGTCTTTACATGACTGTACAAGACTACCAACTATCAGCTATTGCTGGGTTAACAGCTTTAATCACACCAAACATCAATAACAATGACATCAGAAGGTTACATCAGAGGGATGTTGTTGGTTTTTGAAGTTGTTTACCATTGTTGAAGTATTGAAGGAGGATTATATACTATTGGTTGTGGTTTTACGGGCCTTGTTCCAGTTGTTTCTCATCTTATACCTTTGTTATAGTGTTTTAATCATCATAAAATTACTATATTTGTACTAAGGTCACTTAAATCTGCCCCTTCAAGTAAAGAGAAATTTATTTATGGGTGTTCTAGACTATACGTCCCTTTGGGAATAATAATAATGGCAACAGTATTGCTAGTAATTGATACTGTTTTGTGAACTTTTGAGCTTAAAAAACTGGAATAATACTCATTAAAAGTATTGAGAAAATTTCTTTGGTGACTTTATCTTTTTCTCTGTTATCACAAAGTGGTCAGCAAGTGCCCTTGTGCTGGTTTCTTTGAAGAAGGCAGTCTTTAGGCAAGTTCTTCTATTCATACATTAGTAGATTATCCCTTCTTAGGTGTTGTAAAGCTCTTGTTGAGCTTTGAATACTACAACATACCAACTCCCAAGGATATTGAGTAAAGTGATTTACTGCATTTGATCTTATAGCTCTATGACCCTCTTCAAGCCCTTTCAAGCTTTAGAGTGGTGTTTCTGAGCTAGTGATACTAAGTAGCTGCAGGACCAATCTTTAGAATTGCATAGGGTACCTTCAGAGGGAGTGTAAACTATCTGGTGAAAACCTTGAGTAATCAGAGTGTAAAGTTTGGCAGGCCCTGATATCACTCAGAGATTTGAGGAAACTTCTTTGAAGGATTACTTAGCCAACCCACTGGCAAGATACCATCCCAATATCAGAAATGGACCCTAATTTAGTGTCAGAAGACATATTGAATCATTGCCTTTGACGCTTTCTATACACACATCACAGTACTGCATCCATTGAGAGATTACAGGCATTCACCAAAACATTTTTGCCAGCAAAGGTCAAGAAGGGTGGCAGGAATCTGTGGCAAGATTTTCTCAATTTACTGTAGTGTTTTCAATAGTTGACAATAATAGATTTATATAGTTGATAACATACAAGATGTAAAGAATCAGATGAAAAAGGTGCATATGTATCATTGCAATGTTTGTACTCTTGGCAAGGTTTGAATTGATAGTAATACAGAGACTGTGTTACAATACTGCCTGCAAAACCAATTTTCACTTGTTGGCTGAAAGATCCACTGCTGAACTTTAATGTTGGACAACAGAAATTTGCTTATTGAGCTTGATCCAGATTTACAGCCCTTTGCAGAATTGATGACTTTGGAAAAAGAGAAAACGCTTGAGTTTTCAAAAAAACCTGCGAGTTTTTTTCAAAAATTTATTGAGTTTTTCAAAAGCTGAGCGAGCTCTTTCTCTTTTAGAATCACTGAGCCAGGTTTTGAAAAAAACTCACTGACTTTTTGAAAAACTCAGCAGATTTTTGACAAAACTCAAGGTTTTTTTATTTGAAAACTCAAGGTTTGTTTTTCTTCAAAGTCATCAATTATGCAAAGGGCTGTACAAAGTACAAGCTGAAATTTATCTTTTCAAAAAAGAATTTTGGGGCCAGCATCCATTTCTGGACCTACCCCCCAGTTAAGCGCTTAGCTGGGTACGTAGGGAACTCTAAGGACCCAGAATGATGCTAAACTTGCCACGGAAGCTCAATTTTGGCGGTAGGAATCTAAACATACAGTGATGATACTACTGACAATTCAGTGCCAAAAACTATTTTATGCTGGAAAAAAACCTAGAAAATTTTGGACCCCAAGACTTTTGCAGGTAGGGGTGATTGTGTAACACATTTATGGGATACAAAGTAAAAACTGGGATTTGTTTCCCAGTTTTTGTTTTTGGCTGTGTTTGGTACTTTCCCACGTTCTCCCAGTTTCCCGGTTTTTGTTTTTGGCTGTGTTTGAGAAACTGGGAAACTGGGAAAAAACTCCCAGTTTTTACTTTGTATCCCATAATTCTAATTTTATTTACCATCCTGACCTTTCCTGGCCCAAAAATGAAAAATATGTGCTTTCCTTATGGCTATTACCCAACACTTTCAGAATCCTGATAGCTTGATTGGTTCTGAAAATAGATAGGAACTCTGGTATTTCAAGTCTACACCAAAACTCAAATTTCAGACTCAGATCAGGCAAAATTACTCGATTTTTGGCTCCTAGCCCTGAAAGACTGATATAGATATCGACACAACCACTGACACTATTAAGAAGCCGAGAGTACCAGGTTATAGAGACACTCGAGATGCACACTTTTTGATTTTAGGCTAGGGAAAGTTTTGAGGCAAGCAGATTTTTGGGAAAGAGCCCCGACACCATTTTTTTGACTTTACGCGCAAGTCCCTCGGTTGAGTGTGGCAGCTTGTTCCCTCGGTCGGCTGAAAGGTGCCAAGTAATTTACTACCTTCGCAGTGATGTTTAGGTAGAGTCTGGTAGAGTACTGCGTTGAGAACCTGTTCAGTAGGCTTCATGAAGCCAGCCTCTTCGCTCGAGTTTTGCAGGCACTCCGCACCCACCTGAGACCGATCAGACAAAGAACCACGATCAATTTCAGAGTTTGAATAGTGGGTATTGTTCACGTCGAAGCGGAGATTCTCTACAAGGATGGTTCAATCAATTGAATACGTGTGTATTCTTATCACACTCGATTGATAGCCTTGGAGACAGTGTACCCTAAATACTCAAGGCGATGGTCGGATGAGATAGTGTTTATATAAGAGGAGGTAGTCGTCGCAAGGTGTTAGGCGTCAACTTCATCTACTCTCTCTTTTTCCAAAAATTCGAACCTAAACCTTTGGCTTGTGATCAATTGAACTATGGGGAAGAAATCTGCGGCTTTGCTCGTGATGAGCGGTGCGTTGATGGCCTGGTGGTACTGTAGGAAGTCTCCAACAGGTCAGTACGGCTTGGGTTCGATCAGCTAGATGAAGCAAGTTGGGTTTTGACAGTGTAAATTGCACACTTTTTTCAGAACCTGTGGTCGTTCTGGACTACGGCTCCTTTCGAGGAAGGAGATCGCATCTGCACCATGAAATTGAACGATTTTATGGGATTCCATACGTAAGTAGATCTCTTGCCGCTTCCCTCTGCGCATGAGCTAAAGTCTTTAGATAGGCTGAACCGCCAGTTGGGGATCGACGATTTACGAATCCCATTCCGCCTTTGCGAACTTATTGGAAACATGACGCCAGGGTAAGGTTCATCGGACGAGATTCTGCAGCGCGACGATGTGTGGATCGTTGATGACCTCTCCTACCTCCAACGCGTTCGGATTTTCGCGATAATAGAAGCATGCACCGGTGTGTTCTCAACAGACCTTAGGGGGTGATACAGAATCGATGTACAAAGACTGGTTCAATAATATGAATTTGAATCCGATGGAGTACTTCACGCCGTTCGGGTCTGGACAGGAAGACTGTTTGACATTGGATGTTAGTGTTCTTGCCGGCTTCGTGCTCACAAACCTTGCCTGTCCCTCGGTTGCGCTGGCTGACGAAGCCTTACATGAATCTGATCCTGTTGTCAGATCGCTCGTCCAGCCGGCTTAAACAAAAGTTCGAAACTTCCGGTGATGTACTTCATATGTGTGTGATTTCACCTGGATTTGTGACCAGGATGAAGCAAAACTAACTTACAAGGCAGATCCTGGTGGGTTCAACTACGGTGCGAGCTGGCAGCTTACACCAGTCCCGATGGTGAAGAAAAGTATCGAGATTGGTCTTCCAGTGATCTGGGTCTCGGCAAACCATCGGATGAATGTGAGTTTTTTTGGAGAACAACAACGACTCTTGGCCTGTATCGAACCGCAAGACTAAATACATTTGCATTGTTAGGCTTTTGGCTTTTTAGGTGGACGCGAAGTTGGTGAGGCTGGCGTCGGCAATCTGGGACTGAAGGATCAAAGATTGACCTTGGAATGGATCCAAGTTGAGTACAGTTTTTCAAGATGCTTGAGATAAATCGCTCTGCTATGTGTGAAGAATCTCCTAAAACATATATGATATTTCTAGAAACATATATCAAAGTTTGGAGGCGATCCGAAAAAAGTTATGGTCTACGGAGAATCATGTGGGTGTCGATTTCTGGATTCAAAGGAAGGACTGATTATTGAATCTCCCATCTTATGGAACATACAATCTTTAGCTGGCGCGATATCCATCTCGCATCACCTCTTGGCGTTCAATGGAAACCTCAATGGCTTATTCCGCGCTGCTATCTGCCAAAGTGGCACAGCCTTACCAGCTGGCAGTGAGTACACAAATTCTTGAAAGTTATTTTCAGAATTGCTAAGCTGAACACATCCGATTGCAGAGCTCTCTGAAGGAGCAGGGCAGAAAGGATTCGACTTTCTGGTCGATAAAGTAGGCTGTAAAGACTCCAAGGATAAACTGGATTGTCTCCGCCATGCGGATCTGGAAAAATTACAGTATGCTCTTTTCAAGTCTCTCTGCGACGGATCTTTGCTGTGGAATTGACCGGTCTCGTAGGGATGCGATCAATGACCTTCCTGGAACCTTTTCCTTTGGGGCTTTCCCATTAACCTTCGGCCCATCTGTTGATGGCGAATTCGTCACGGAGTCCATGCAGCATGCCTTGGCCGCTGGTAGATGTAGGTCTCTTTTCCCGACATTATATTTAGACGTGTGACTGATTTCAGATTTCCTGATTCGTCCTGTGCTCAATATATTCAGTCGCAAAAATCCCGTTGATTAGCACTACCATGAAAGATGAAGGGACAGTTCTTACAATATCATCGAGTTCGATTAAGACCCAAGACCAACTTCGACAGAGTAAGGTAGTTGTCATACTTCGTGAGTTACAATATAGGACTGACAAATCAACTTGCTTTCAATCATCAGCTTTACATCAAAAGGTTCCCAAGGCAAGCCCGGAGCAGATCGAAAAGATCTTACAACTTTGGCCCTCTGACCCAAAACTGGGATCGCCTTTCGGCACAGGCGACAAAAATGCGTTGACGCCTGTTTACAAGCAATATTCCGCAATTCTGGGTGACTTTGCATTCCAAGTAAGGAGTGACATGTTGATCTGAATTTTGCGTATGATGAATATTGAGTCAAGCTCTCTGGACCAGGGCTTGAGGCGATTGTTTCTTAGAACAACAGCTAATGCAATGCCCACTTGGAGTCTCTTGGACCGAGCAGAAGAGGATCTTCCTATAATAGGTATGCCCGCTTACTCCATCCTTGAATGTCAACACATTCGCTTATCTGCACCGTGTTTGGTAAGGTGCCTTCCATGCATCCGATCTTCCAGCTGTCGTCGGTTTAATTCCCGGGCAGCGGACTGACGAATATCAAGCACGCTGGATTTCGTTTGCCCATAATCTTGACCCTAATTACGAAGGATTGCCGCGTTGGGAAAAGTACGACAATGGACAGTCACTCGTCATGACAAGAAACGGGTCAATAGGCATGGAGCCCGACAACTTTCGCGAGAAAGAGATAGATTATTATCTGCAAAACCTCCACGAGCTCACCTTTGATTCGCCGTGAACTTGCCTTTTTTGTCAGATGTTTTTAAGTTATTTTATAGATTCTTGTTTGCTTGTCAATTGTCAATTCGTGCTGCGCTCTGCCCAACCTCGTTTCTCATTCAGGTCTAGTCGTTGCATGGTTGCATCCGAAGCATCTTTGTAGATATGATTGCCATTTGAATGTTTTGCTTTCTTGTATTTCAGCGTCAGGAAGTGTACAGTAGGCGCACACTAGTCTTTTCATGTCGGGGCCTCTACCTGCCTCTACTATTGGTTTCTTGTATCTGATTATGTCATCTCTACACTTATTCTAGGCTACTGTCTGGAGTTCTCTTGACCTGGTGTCTTTTAAAAATTGTAATAGTATACAACCACTTTCATTTTTTGCTGCTGTTGGGTTTTCTTCTCCTTTGATTCCTTTTTCTGGGCTATTCATGCTAAAGTTCTGATAGATCTTGCCTTGGTCTTAGAAACATCTGACTCTACCATCCATGAAATCACACTTTAGTGCCCTTATAAGGATACTGCAGTAAGGTTTAGTTCTACCACAGTTCTCTAGTAATAAATGCCATGTTGCAAGTTGCTAGCACCTCTAGAAATGATAGATTGGAAAAATAAGTCAAACCATTTCCTTTGGTCCCAACCCAGGGCTTTGGCCAGTGCCATCAACTAATTGTTGCAGAACTCAGTCCTGCATGGTCTGAATTGACCTTAGGGTCAGGCAGCTCAAATCTGCCCCTAGAAATTTATTGTGGGTTGGTAGTGGTTATCATTGGGTCCCAAAGGCTTGAAGACCATAAGGAAGGAAGTCCTTTAGGTGCTTTTCCTTACATGTTTTCTTGTTAAGTCTTTCTTTGCACATCATTTGTACAAACACTGATTTCCTTGATTGAGTCTGGTTGTGGTTCAACCCAGGATTTGTTTCTACTATGATCTAGAGGATACATACAGAAGATATGATGCAGATCATGTCCAATGAGTTTGATATCAAGTCAATAACAGCCAAAACCTGTAAACAGATTTCTGTTAGGTCTTGCTAAGCTCTGCTGGTTATGATGGTAAATCTTTGCAATAGACATTTGGCAATCTTTATTTAGAGAGCAATAACCTGATGTACCACCAAATATTTTACTTGGATTAAAAAATCCAAAGCATTCTCAAATTACAAACCTTGGACAGAAGCTTTCCAAGGTTTCAATCCAAGGTAATCCCCGTGCAAAAGAATACCTTGGATAAAAACCTTGGACAAGGTCTGTCCAAGGATTTCCCTCCAACAATGCCTCAAATTCATCAACCCAAGGTATGTTTGCAGTGTATGTAGCTATGCATCTTGCACTTCAGCAACAAAACCAAGATTCTTGGGTCAACTTGCCTAATGCACCCACAGGCCATTCTTGTTTAATTTTTGCATTGGACCAGGGCTGGGTGCTGGGATGAAATGTGGGGCCAGTGTGGTTGCTGGTTATTTCTGTACACTAAATTAAATGGACAAGTGTTATGATCCTGTCACCAATCATGGAGCTGTCACAACATGTGACATGTGAGACCCTCAACCTCATATGAGACCAGTGCTCCACTTGTATTGCCTCTCTTCATGCTACAATAGTCATACAAAGTACTCAGCACCCTTTCCCTTATTTCTGTACACTGACTTAAATGGGCAAGGCATTTAAGGGCCAAATAGTACAGTAAAAGATGAAACTCCCAATGAATCACAGTACAAAAATAAACAGTGGTGTTGCACAATCCTTATTTGGCCTCTCCGCACCAGTATGGTCAAAAACTTGCACATACTGCTGTAAACCAAAATTTCTGATCATCTATCACCAAAAGTGTCTATCAACAGCTTGGATTCAATTCCAAGCTCTCAAACTGAAGACTTGTTCAAGTCAGATGCACTCAATGAACCCCCCACCAGAAGGGTACAACTTGAATGGATGAAGCTGGAGAACAACCTGCTTGCAAGCTCCTTCCCAAGGTCCCCTGCCGTACCTCTAGCGTCAAAGGATCTGACTACACTTGAGAAGTTTCTGACAGAAGTCCAGTCCAATTTCAAGAAGTCTGTTGAATGGACAAGACAACATTTCTCTCACTCATTGGGGTCCTCAGCAACTATCTTGGGTCATCCTTTTGTAGGGATAAAGAAGAATATGTCACAATTTTCCTGCTCATGGTTGGAAATGCTGGATCAAACCTAGTTGCTTGCAAAAGATTCCAGCATTCAGAATTTGAGGAGAGACCATCAGTCAATAATTTGGCAAGTTTGCATGGGCAATAGAACAAGTATCAGACTGTTGCTGCCAACCTGCTCCCTTGCCTAATGTCCACAGGAGATCCTATCAAATCCCAAGAGGTATCCCTGGTTTAAGAATTATGACTGGGAAGCCTCTAACTTTGAATCCTTGGTAAGCCAGACAATCAGCCTGTTAGCCAGACATTGGACAATCAGCCAGCTCACCTGTTTCATCCTCCATCCCTATAAAGCCTCATTTATTCAATGTGATGTCTTTTTTTCACTTGCAAACATGGCCTCTGAAGGCCCATCCAAGTTGCACAACACTGAAAGATTTACCTTGCTCACAGCAACCTACCCTTGCTTGCAACCTGTGGACTCAATATTGCTGGGTTTCAGCTTCTCTGTAACATGATTCATGTCCTAAGAACATTCTGCCAAGACGTCACCAACAGGTAACAAAATGCTGTGGCTCTCATGACTCTGGTTGGTCTTATTGAATTTCTACCAGCCTTGTATCACAGCTACAACCCCCTGTGGTTGGGATATCAACTGCACAGACAGGCAATTTCAGAGCTTGAAGTTCTTGACAAAGCCCTCACAATCTTAAATTTTCTCAGGATCTTCTGTGGCCGCAATGAACTGAGAAGTGCTTGGTTCACCCAATTCCTGATGGAAAGAGGTGCTGGTTTCAACAAGATAGTGATTCAGTTTTAAATATGTAGATCATTTCAATCTCACGTACTTAGTATGGAATATTTGCAGGCCTGAATGTTCAAGTCAGCTTTCAACAAGCTGATTAATTCCATTGATGACAATCACATCTTCAAAAACAACTCAGGAATGAAGCAAGCTCCTGTTTGGTGGCAGGCATTTAGGGTATTCAAAGTTCTTCTGGAGATTCCCAGAAGGTGTTTTCCAGAACACCAGACCCCTTCTGGAATTTGGGAAAATACCACCGGTGGAAAACACGGTTCCAACTTCCAACCCTTCAGTGGTGTGCTCCCAACTTATATATACCTTCCCTTCACCGTGACTCAGTCAATACACAGAGACTTTCAAGCTCACAGAATCAATCAATGCTTGTTATGTAGTCTCTTTTGGCATTTTTGAAACAATTGTTGTCAGTCTTGTTTCAATTGTTAGTTTCAAACATTTTTTCAAACTAATGTGATTGTGGTCTCCAAATCAATCTCTTTAAAATTGTGTTACCTACTTGAAAGCTTTGATTGTCTGGAAATCCATTTCATGTTTACTTTCTTTGTGATTTGTCTAAAAACCGACTTCAACCAGAACTTGTCTGAAGGATTCAAAGGTGAGTGTAGTGATGAGATGAAGTAGCTGATGGTGATGTGATTTGGTGCTGATGTGAGTGAGGATGAGGGGAGCTCTGGTGGAGTTGGGTTGTGTATGTAACACACTCAAATTGTCAATGGGCTTTCTGGTCTGGCATTCTGGAAGTGTGATGCATTCAAATTTGCCAAATGCCAGAATGCCAGAACACACCAACAAAAAGCTTCTGGTGTTCCGGAAAAAACCTTCTGGAAAGTTCCAGAAGAACTTTGAATACCCTAATTGAATGGCCTGGAAAGCTTAGGAACATGGAGGAGTACATTTCCATCTTACAAGGACATTCAATTGCTCAGGTATCACCATAAACATCATTCAGTTTCCCCAAGGAAGGGTAAAATGATTAAGAGTGTAGTTTGTAATAAAAGGATCCATCACTGCACACCTAAGCCATAACACACACAATTTATGTGCAGCAGGCTTAGTTGATAGTTGCGTATCATGTACAAGTAGACGCAGAAAATTCACGTCACCCCCGGGGCCAGGAACATCACTACACCATATGTAATACACACAGGGTGGGGCCCTGGGGGTGACGTGAACTTTCTGTGTCTACTTGTACATACAGGTCTGCTCAACTGTCTGCTCATCTGAATGAATAAATCACATGCATTACATCATGTAAATTTTTTGACATTGAAAAAATTGTCCCAACAATCTACTACATTTATCATCATGGCTATTCAGGCAATCTTCTTGTAGCTATTTGTCAGGGTGTTACATGTTGTTTAGTTGAAAAAATTACACCAAAACTTTGAGTCAGTGTATGTAGTCAATTTTTGGAATGATTTTGTCAAGCTGAAAAAGAGTTACAGCATGTATTACATATGATTCAATCATCCAGATGAGGACACAGCTGAGCAAACATGTATGTACACGGTAGCCAACTATTCACTCAGCCTGCTGCACATATGTAGTGTAGGTGTCATGGCTCAGGTGTACAGTGATAGATCACTTTATGACAAATTATACTCCTAATCATTTTCCCCTTCCCACTTGGAGAAGCTGAATATGTCCACAGTGTAAGTTTCCTTTTCACAGTTTGATTTTTACGATTTGATGAATTGATCTCCATTTGATTTGATCTCCATTCACAGAAGGGAGTGTGCAAATTTGTATCACTCAATTCATCCTTGCTGTACTTGAGTTGAAAGACAAATACACATGGTGGCCTTCTCCTCAAGAACATTTGGCTCTGAAAAATCAAACTGGCTCCATGTCATTCTTCAAGGTTTATATAGGCTTGTGGAGGCTTGTGTAGGCTTTGTAGACAGAACTCTAAGTCCCCTGGCAGCAGTACCTTGTGGAACTCCAGAAGACTATTGTACATACATGTGATAATTTCTACACATCAAACATCATGCTTGTATGTGATATTCATGGCCAGGTGACTTATTACAAATTGGTGTGGTGTGGTAGTGTTCATGGCCAACAGGTTTTCTGTCTCCACAGGTGAGGAATGTCTGTCATCTGTCCCATTCAAACTCAATTCATTTACTGATGATGCATTTAAATTAAAATCTTTGATACTCAATGATTATTTTGAAGCAGGGGAATATCTCTTGGCAAGCTCAGATTACATGGTCTCCAATGTTACCTGGTCTCAAGTGTTGTAGAGGTCACAGCTTGCGGTCTGATGAAGGCACTTCCAATAAAGCAATCAGCACATTGTGTTGTAATGGAATGGTCAACACTGCAAACATTGAACAGCTTCCACATGTGGAAAACTGGTTCTTGATGGAGAACCAAGGCTATATTTTCCACCAGGTGGATTCCATATGGAAACCATATGTTCTTTCCCAATCACAGGCCAAGCAGACATCCCTGAGCTACTTAGGGTTAGGGTTAAGGGCACTCAAACAGATAAATCACCTCCAAATTTTACTGTAGACTTCTTTACCAGATGACATTTGTTTCTACATAGAATATCTGTGGTTCAATTTAGCCAAGTCTAAAGTGTTTCAATGGACCTGTAGTCCTGGTAACAAACTATCAAAAACTAGGGTACAAGTAACCTAGTATCTGCACTCCCCCCATTTGTTCCTTCCCACAAAATTCAGATGCTACAATTTGACCATGTTGTAGCAATCTTCAGCAAGTCACATGTATATTGAATTTATAATGACACAAAGGTCTTGGCATTTTAGTCTCTGCACTCCCTTATAAATATTGGTTTCTCACTCCCCCTTTTTTGTTCTCAGGGTGTGAATGTCAATTAGCAAGGTCAGTGAGCAAGGTATCAACATGGAGCAAGTAATAATTAACTTGGTACAGGTTGATTGGCATATGTCATGCGGTGCTGGAGCCTTGTACAATAGTATATGTGCGGATCCCAGGAACCTGGTATCTGCACTCCCCCTCATTTTCTGTGCGCACAGCATGGAGGTCAATAAGCCATGGTATTGAGCAAGGTATCCACATGAGACACACAATGAATAAATGGTTACACATCAATTACATATGATTTACATATGTAATAAGGTGGTTTGACAATAGTAATCAGTTGAATCATATGTACTCAATAGGTAAAAATTTATTCATCATGTGTTTCATGTGGATACCTTGCTCAGTACCCTGGCTTATTTACCCCAATGCTGTGGGCACAGAAAATACGAGGGAGTGCAGATACCAGGTTCCTGGGATCCGCACATATACTATTGTACAAGGCTCCAGCACTGCATTACATATGCCAATCATATGTTTTTAGCCTGTACCAAGAAGATATAACTTGCGCACTATACATGTATGTAAGTGAAAATTACAATTGATTTCATTGTATGTAAGTATGGATTACACGTTTCTTTTTCCTCATCACTACATGTAATGCTTTCATTACATGTAGGTAAAGCATTACATGTAGGTTTTTGATTTGTTAGTAGGGTGATAAGACCATCTTTATGGCATATTCCCTTTCTGACAAGATTCCCCAAAGTGGAAACAGTGTGCCTTACATATAAAAGTTGCATGTATTTGATCTTGGAACTTCCCAAACTAATACTTAAAATGTAGTACATTGGCAAATTTGGCTTTTGCTATAAATATTGGTTTCCACACCTCCTTAAATTTCTATTTGATCTGTAAGTTCTTTATCACCTCATAAATATTAGTCTCTGCACTCCCTCCTAAATATTACTTTTTGCACTCCCTTATAAATATTGGCCCCTGAACCCCCATCAATGTCCGTCTTGTAATGTGGCATGCTTGGTAGATTCCCTTATATATTGATAACACAAACAACTTCCAAGTAGTACATTGAACTTCAGTTTTTGCACTCCCTTGCAAAGATCAGTTTTTGCACTCCCCCACCTATCCCCTTGTAGCTTAACATTGTTCAATCTATTTGAAGTATTTTATGAAGTGATTGTTTGTTTTAAACTTTGATTTCACTTCTACAACCCTGTGCAGTTACCATATTTGTGATCATGGCACAGAGAGTCTTCCAAGTTTTCACTAAACAATAAAAACAAACCTTGCCAGTACAAGTTACCTGTTGACTGAACAGACACATATGTAAGACATAAATTGAATCAGATAAAGTTGGTGTGTATATGCCATACATCTTGAGTTGTGGCAATTTGAATAGGGGTTGGCCAATGGACACATAAGCAGTCCCTGGGATCATGGGTCAGGTTGTACTATATGCATGAATCATACTTCTTCCCATGGGGAAGTTTAAGTAGGCTTTCTATGATTCTAACTCCCACACTCCTCTACATGCTCACTTGTCATTTTGCTACTTTTTTGAATTGAAATTGGGACAACAACACCCACACCATAATTCTCTTGTTCAATGAAACTGGTTGATTCCTTCAGATTGCATTGGCCCACACCTGGTATCTGCACCCCCATCCATTTGTTTTCTTTCTGTAAATATTGCAGTGCCAAAAGCCCACAATTTGAAAAAGATGTATCATTGTGAGTAACCAGTTTATTGAAAGAGTATACAGCACTATACCTATGATTTACAATAGAACTGCACAATGAAGGTATCCACATCAAGCTCAGATCTTTGGTCTCACAGGGTATAGATATAGCTCATGCTCATGTACAGGACCAGGTGAAGTATGAGTCAGTGTTTTTCCAATAAGAGGAAACTGTAATCCCATCTTTTCACCCATACCTATTCAACAAAATGTACCTTGACAAAGATATCTTCCAAACCAGTTGATTGCTTCTGAAATCATGTTGATCAGTAATTGGCACACAAATTGGGAAGTGCTAGACAGGTTTTGGTATCTGATTTTACACGCCCCTCTCTGGAGCCTTTGTAATTTTTATTTGGACCAAAACAAACAAATAAAACTCTTGTTCTATAACACTATTCTCTGGATAAGTCCAATGCTCCTGGTATCCCTCAAAGGTGCTCAGACAGTAGAAGCCTGGTATCTGCACTCCCATAGTGCTCTTTCATTTTGTATCCCATTGAGGATACTTCAGCTTGAAAAACATGTAGTATGATGAAAAACAATGGCCATCAACCAAACACTCAGTTGACAAGAAAACAAAAGCAAAAAATATGTTTTTTGTGAAGTTGAGTTGGGATTTGCAAGGAGTCACCCAAAAGTTGTGCTTATTCTCTTGTTAGACTGATGAATTGAATATTACTAATATTCATCAGTCTAACAAGAGAATGAGCACAACTTTGAGCCCAGTGGTAATATTGTTACCACTGGGCTCAAAATCAAAAACTTAATTGTTACCATGATTTGCTTCAGCCTCTTTCAAAACCAGTCTTTGTTGCAACTCATTCAAGAATTCAGGTTTCATCTTTGGAGCACATGTCTTATTTCACATCACTATTTTTTGGCCTCACACCCTACTGGATTGCTTCAGTTTCATCAGCATGTTCTGACCAGTCAGTATTCATCAACCCAGTGTGCCAAAGTTATGCATGTGTATAGTCATTGGTAGTTGAAAAAGCAATGATGAGAATGAAAGAAGAGCCATACAATCAATACTAATCTGAATCTCCAATTACAAGTGGAACTCTAGAGCTATTTGTACTCTCCTTAACCCCAGAATTAAAAAGCTTTTGACCAAAATCTAAATTTTTTTGAAATTTATCCACCCATGTATCCGCTTCCTGTCTTCTATTTATATTCCATGGAGGATACAGAGGGGGTGCAGGAAAGTGGGGTAAGAGATCAACAGATATGAAATGATTGAGAGCATTTAAAAGACAAATGAAGATGGGTTTGTTATCATTGGGGGGGTGAAGAGTAGGGAAAAAAGTTAGAGGTTGAAGAGCAGAAAATAGGATTATGGGCCTTTGGTATGCATTAGCCAATATGTATGCATGAGCTGGAAATTCCAACCACCTTTCTTTTCCAACAGGTGAATCTGTATCCTCGAGTAAGTCTCTGAACTTTTCAAATGAATGTTTATAGAAAACAGAACCAGAATAATTCTTCTGACTATATGTTTCCCTGTTCCGTTCCAGCTCTTTGACCATGTCTTTCTTGATTTCCACCCAGTCTTTTTCATTCTTACCCAAACCTGCAGCCACTGATCTGTAACCACAGTTCCCATCACCTACAGGATTTGTATAACCTATTATATATTGCCTGATCCATTGGGGATGGACGTAGCAAAGAAAAGGATCCTTTGAAATTGTCAAACTCTCTGGTTGTTTGGAGACTTCTATTTCTTCAGCGCTCGCATGTCTTGCCTTTTTGCAAGGATTTTTCTGGATCGAATGAATTGTAACTTAAGAAAAAGGAATTGAAGCAAGACAGTGTTGCACAACTTGCTTACCTCTGACAAAAGTTCTTCATAAATGGGCCTGTCTGATTTCCTCTTGGATCCCCTGCTTCGAATAGGCTAGAGCAACAGTGAAAGCAAAAGTCACAAAGATAATCAAGCAAAAAGAATAGATGTCCAAAACCTACTTTTTCATTAAAACTTTCTGGACTGATACCAAACAATTCATTGTTGTCCTGAAGTCCGTCCTATGAGAACAGAATTCAATAACTTGAAGAAACATGTTTTTGAAACTAGCTCACCTTTGATGATGATTCTTCAGAAATTGAGCTGTCTGATACCGCCTTTGATCGCCATCTTTGGACGGGCTAGAGGAAAACAGAAAGAAAAATTCACAAATATAATCAAGTAGAACAGATGTCAAAAACTTACTTTTTTGTCAAAAATTTCAGAACTGGATTCTAACAATTCATCATTGTCCTGTAGCTCGTCCTATGAGAAGACAGATATTATTTCAGAGAAAAACAAAGAAGAGAAGATGACTGTGACAAGAAATGAAAATGTTGTAGAGGCTACAAATGACTTGCCTCGAGGTCACTCCCACTTCCTTCCTCCATCACCACTTTCACTAGTTCTTTATTAGTCTGTGACGTCCTCCCTGATAACCTCTTTGAACACCTTCTTCTAACGGGCTACAAGCAAACAGAGAGGAGAGTTTGTAACTTTAAATAAAGAAGAAACATGGACGTTCAAAACTCACTTTGCAATCAAAACCTTTTGGAATGAATTGAAACGATTTATCATTGTTGGGAATTTCGTACTATACAGTTGAAAAACCATAGTTCAGCCAGGATGAGGAAGAGACAAAGCCGTGACCATAAAGGAAAAATATTAACAGGTAGAAATGACTTGCCTCAAGATCGGTCTCACTTTCTTCCTCAGTCGTAGCTCTCACTTCTTTTTTCCTCGTTGTCGTTCTTCCTGAGAGCCTGTTCGAAACCCTTCTTCTCTTAGGCTACATGAAGATAGAAAGGAAATTCACAACTTTGGTCGACAAAAAAGAATGGAAGTGAAAAACTCACTTTGTGATCAAGCCCTTGTGGAATGAATTCAAACGGCTGGTACTCATGGGAAAGTTGATCCTAGAAGAAGAGGAATTGAAGTTTAGCAAAGAAGGGGAAAGAATACACGAGTCATAAAAGACCTACCTCAAGATCGGTGTCACTTTCTTCCTGCATTACCGCTTTCACTTCTCTTTTTGTCTTGGATCCTTCAGGCCTTCCCCTTGTCTTGATAGCATGATCTTTAGATATAGCAGACTTTGAGATAGGTTTGATGGTGTATTTTCCAGTGAGTAATTTTTTTCGTCATGTCCGGGGTGAGATAAAGACTTGAATTTTTCCAAGATTTCAGTTTGAAAGACCCGTTCTTTGGTACTTATATCAACATTTTTTGCTTGATTTGATGAACCTTCTAAGCCTGCAAACATAGCTGACTTAAAAGAGTATGAAAATACGATGTTGAAAATACGATGGAACAGAAGGAAAATTGAGTCACTTAAAATTAACTGAACACAATAAATCAACGATAGAAGAAAAACCCAAATGACTTACTAGAGGTTTCAGAGGAGAGATATGCCATTGTTGGGAGAAGTCGGCTGGCTCCAGACTTTTGTTTTCTGACTTATAGAGTTGAATCTTGTGGACACAAGGTATTCCCATGTAAGAAGCGTATCTACACATGCAATGTAACTCTTCTTGTGAAGATTGAAAAAAAGAAGCGCAGATTTGAACAGCAAAGACTGAAATCTTTCTATGTACATTTGCGAGAAAATGCGGTAAACCAGGAATCGCGCTCGCAACTTGAATGCTTCCTGAATTTTTTACTCGGCGATATTGATCCAAAAGGGTGATATTCAATTCCTTGATTGCACAGTGGAGCGTACCAATTGAAGAATTCATGAGATCTTTGACGTCCAAAAGTCTCGAGTCAACCCTCTCGGTGCGGTAATGATCAAGATGAGGAAGATTGTTGCAAAAGTGAGCGGCCCATTTGTGTTTCAGAGGCATCCAGTTGTTTGTAATATAATCCACTGTCCGGGGAGGTAGCCGTTTTTTTAAATCTTTGAATAGTAGATTAAATGAGGTTTGGTCGGGAGATTTGGCGAGCTCGTTCCATTCATTTTTGAATTCTTCCCAATCTAGTTTGTTTCTAAAATGGTTGTAGCAATAGGTTTTGAGATCTTTTGTAATGTTCCAATTACAGAGCATATACTGAGAAGAGGGGAAAACAGTCTGTATAGATTTGATTAGCGCGACTTCTTGATCCACAATGAAAAGCTTTGGAGATTCATGCTGAAGGAATTTTGAGAATTGTTTTAACGCCCAGGAATAATTTTCTACGTCTTCCCTTGCTATGAAACAGAACCCAGCGGAGAATGATTCATTTTCTGAGGTAATGCCAATAATGTGAAGAAAAGGGGTAGAATACTTGTTGACTTTATATGTGAAATCAAAGAGAAAAACCGTGTTGAAGACATTTGCCAAATTTATACACACAGGATGAGAGATGAACAACGACTGGTAAGCTTCGTCTCGACTTGATTTGATTACTTTGAAACATTTGTTTTTGGAAATAGAATCAAAGAGGGCGTCTATTGGCTGTCTACCGCGTAAGACTGATTGATTGATTTTTTTTCTTTCGTTGTAGATAGATTGTAAACAAATCTGTGAATCTTGACTTTCACTATTTTGAGCTATGTGCATTTTGATTTCCAGCGGTTTGGCGCCAAGCTCAGTTAATCTCCAGATCGTTTGTTTTTGCCCAAGATCTAACCTTCTATGCATAGGGTGGCAGTCAGGCGACAGGGAAGCCGTATGATTGTGAAAAGGGTAAGTCACTCGAAATAAGAATCTTCTCGTATCCGGACGAAAGATCCCAATCGCTCGAAATGGGCAGCCGATCTTTTTAGATGATTTGGTGGAAGCGCTGGAGGTCTTGGAAATATTAGATCTCGTATATCCAGATCTATCACACTGGTAACTGAATTTCTTGTCCTCTTTTGTTCTCAACGTTACAATTGCATACCCATGGGCCTTTGCAAAGGACTGAATATCTTCCTTCATCGCGGCTGCTGATACATACTCAACTGATGGAGGGTATTGGAGGTTGTGAATCTCTTGAACTGTCGACGCTTCCATTCTGTCTGTTTGTTCAAAAACAAGTATTAAAACGCTGAAAAGTAAATGATATTATTCAGAAGTGAAAAAACGGACAGAGTGCCTAAAGACAGCAGATTGAGATTGAGGTGGTTCTGGAAAGTGCTGTGGGATTTGAAAAATCGACATAAGATAGTGGGATCGGGAGCTTCAAAGGGAAGAGTTGACAAGGGATCTGAAAGGACCTAACTTCTTGGGGGACGCCTTTGAACTTCTGTGAACCTCTGGAAGCCGGTGGAAACCTAACCACCTCCCACGCGGACGTGAACTTGCTGTTGTTTTACCAGTTGAGAATGGGAGCAGCCACCATGTATTCAATTTCCTTTCCCAGGCTTTTCCTAGTACAAAAAAAACACTTACTTACAAACATGATCAAAAGTCTCCTGGTCAGAAAAAGACAAAGGAGGTCCAGAGAGAAAATTAGTTCAATTCACTATCCTGCATGAATCTGGTCGCTCAACTCAGTTCAGCTCAACAACATGTGAAGTATCTGATTCTAGCTCAAAAAGAGAATATCTCAAGTCCTGGGCGCTCTGGGCCTGATCTTAAACTATATATGAGAATCATGATTAATTGAACAGAGGAAGCTTGAGAGTAAAGGTTGCAAGTCTTGCAATGATTGATGAGGTGACTGCAGGAAATAGAATGTCCGAAAGCTCCGTGTCTGAAATGGAAATGCCCTGTGGAGACAGGTCAACATAAGATCAAGGTCATAAAGTCACTGTTGTCCTCAATTGGTTATTTCAATGGGACATGAATTAAAAGGACAGTTCAGGGAGGATTTCAAGCTCAATACATTTCACCCACAAGTTCAACAAACAGGGAGGAGGCTCGATATATAGAATATGAACTGTGATTGGAAAATTAAAAAAAAAGCCAACACATGATATATTGTTCCTTCAGAGGTTTGTCTAAACTTTGGTTTTTTTGATGGAGGTGAGGCTGCTTCGGATACAGAAAGAAAGAAAATCATCAAACAGTTGCAGGAAGTTATGTTTTCAGAAAAACCTACCGGTCAAAAACTGATGTAACCGTCAAAGTTAAGCTCATCCATGGGGATGATGTCAAAGTGTACTCCTTGACACAAATCTGGCTCCTCCCCTTCACAGAGGAAAAGGTTGTAAATAGCCACTAGCATTGGACGACTGACAACTACACTGGTGGGAATCCATACTTGAGGACAGAGAATTTGTAAGGCTTGTCGTATGGCGTCACGATCCTTTGTTTGAATCTCTTCTAATTTAAGTACATGAGGTCGACGGATGTTTCCTGGAGTAATTGATGGGCGTGGGCCCTGGTTACGTTTATTATTGACATGCTTTCGAAGTTTGACCAGGGCGCTTTTGTTGAATCCGCGAGAAACCATCTTATCCACACTGTTCTTCAGACCTACACGAAGGTCATTGACCTTTGACTTTGACTTTAAGTTTTTCAAGTTGCCCGTTGTTTCAAGGTTATCAGTGGAGGAAGTAGGTGTTGAGTTGGTGGACTCAGGCTTTGGCCTGGAGCGCAGCCGCGTTGAAGAGGAAGGAACCCCCAAGGCGGACTCTCCGTTCATATCTATATCTCCGTCTGACGTTGAAGGTGAAGAGGCCGTGGGTTCCGCTAATGGGGAGTCGGAAGTGGCGTGCTTCTGTAGGTGAAGGAGTAATTCGTCGATTGTTGGAGCGGCGTACTTTCTGTAGTGTTTGACTACCTCGTCTTTCTTTGTCTTTGAGCCCAGGCTCTTGTGTTCTATACCAAACAAATCCATCATTTCACGGAGCCTTGGAACACTACATAGGAATTTACTGTAATCAATATCTTTATCAAGTGCTACTAGGATGCATAAATGGGACGAAGCCTTTGCCCGCTGCAGTTGGGTAAGTTGAAAGTCAGTCATTGTCGTAATGATTGAAGATGATTTGGTTTAAGATCCTCCTAGATGGATTGAATTAATGATGAAGAAGATGATCGAGTGGGACAGAATTGTGAGAGAAGGATATTCTGGAGTAGATGAAGCGTGTTGTTAGAGGTCAAGTGACTGGCTTTTGAATGTGTTTTTAGGAGAAGCCTTTGCTCAGATGCTATCAGATTGCTCAACACCGTGGCTGACCCTTGTGGATTCAGGCCAAAACTGCCTGAGATTTGATGCGCAAAAAGTAATTGACCCTCTATGACTTCGTGCGTCTACTTGGGTTGTACACTGAGTTTTCATCTGCCTTTGAGCGGAAGATTGTGAAGGGGGGAACAAATGTAAGGTCAAACAAGGGCCGTGGTAAACAAACTACATGAAGGATAAGGAGTCTCAGATACGCAGCACTTTCAGTTGAGCAGTGCAGGAACGCAGGGCTTAGTCTTAGGAGCCCGCTCTACAAATAGGGTATACAAAGTTCGTTCTGGAAATTTCCAGAACACCAGAAGCCTCCTACTCTTCTGGAAAACATGCAGTGTTGGTTATTCTAAGCTTCAGAATACCATGAGTTCAGAAAACACCCAAAAAAAAACTTCTGGTGTTCTGGGGAAACACTTCTGGAAATTTCCAGAACCATATTTGTATACCCTAAAAGAAGAAGAACGAGGATTCCCTCCAGGTACCACAGCAAAAGAATAGAGATGGATTGAAGGAATGAGGATTATGAATGAATAATCAAGAGGAATCAGACTGACAAGAAATCAAGGTATGATTTTTGGACAAGGGACAAGACCACTTTTTCAAAATTGAAGCTCACTGAGCCGGTGGGGCTCTTTGAAGCGTTTCTCATAAGCAGTCTTTCATGCAACACCAGTTGCCGCGATTTGGAGAACCGTACACTGTCGCAGGGCTGGAAGCTCTTCATCAATCTCACCCTCATATGTACTGAACTTCCTCTCAAATCCCTTAAACTTTGAAGTCTTTGTTCCCAAACTCAACACCCAGTCACATTTGCTCCAGAATCTGGCTGAATCTAACCAAAGGAAAAGGATAATATCAATGGTATAAATCACGTTACCTTTGAATCTGCTTTTACAAAAGAAGAGAAACCTCAAATTGTAACGATTTCAAAATTTATATACCAAGTTTGTTACGTTCTCAACTCAACTCTAAGTTTCTTCTTGAACTCAGAGTCGACCACTTTTTCAATTAACTCGTCATCTTCTTCTTACTTTATTTTTGATTCATTTTCAAAAACTGATTGTAAGGCTCTTCTGACACAGACAACAATTTCCACAAAACAAAGGAATCACATGACATAGGAATGTCTGGTTTGTAACATCATGCCTCACGATCCTAGGTGTGGATCTGAGACCAGAGTTGCACCATTTTAAGTAGAATTTGGCTGATGTTGATGATGAAAATAACGCTCTTCACTGAACATCTCTATCTCGCGTCGGACATCAACACGGGGGTGGGCTGTAGAGGCATCTGCAAGCTTCTGAATAGCCATCTCATGCGCTCTGGTATGTTGGTATTCGAGGCTTGCCGCCGCCGTGATATCTTCAACTGCAACTGATAGATGGTGAATCTCGTGTTTCAATAGAGTGGTTTCTTTTGTTTGATCCGTCATGACAGGGTAGATCAGCTCAACATTTCCTGCTGAGATACCAAGCAAGCCCGCTGGTAAGCCTGAGTTATGAGGTGGCCAAACATGAAAGGTGACTTACCAGCTTGAAGGATCTTTACCTCCAAAGCTCCAACGGTTGTCATGTTTTCCTGCATAACACGAACTGTAGTTTTGAGATGGAACAGTTCCTCTTTCAACATCTCAACTGGTGAGAAATTGAACCAAAACATTGGTGAACTTCCTAGCGAAATGATAGAGGAATTTCTGAGGACTAACTTTCTTGCCGTGCAGTTTTGAGAGCGGTGAGTTGCTCTTCCAAAGTTTCTAGTAAAGGAACAGATTAATTGTCAGATCAGGCGTGCACTAACATGGATTCCAAACCCCAGACCACAAAAGAACTCACCTTCAGGTTCGCAAGGGGATACTGGCCTTTTCATTTTGGAGAAACTGGATGAATTTTGACGGATTGGACCAAGAGATCAAGATATATCACAGAGCCAAAACAATGTTCCAGAGAAAAAAGCTCCCGATATTGGGCCCCAAAGCCCAGTAAGAATTATTACGAAAGATATGAAATAATGTTTGAGGAATGTCTGTTTGGTGCGGGATTAAGTCTTTCGGAGAAGATTGAAGGTAATTCGGAAACCAGAAATCATGTCTGGCTTGAGAGCTGCAAATAAGCATATACATTGCTCAAAGGACATTTCAACAGCTAGCTGCGTGGGGAAAAGAGGGTGCATATATTCTTTGTGGGCGCTTTGGAATATTCATCTAATTTGATTTCACGTTGTATAATGGAGCTGAGATTGACAATCAGATGGGGGTTTAGAACAACTAGGTAGTTTCCAACAAATTTGTGCCACACTCAATAAGAAAACACACCGGCAGTCGTACGAGATTTCAACTCTTGATAGATTACCGGGGACTTAACACAAGAAGGTGTGGCAATTATGGGTCCTTCAGAGATGCGCTTCAACCGCCGCTCACATCTTGGTGAATGGGAAAGTACCTCCTTACAAACATTCTCTTCAAGTGCGGGTCACAGTTGTGCTGATTGGCGGAAGCTTGTTCAGGGCGTCCCCTTTCACTTTTGTAATGAAAAAGCGTTAGTTGCCAAGATAAGCCAGAGTATCTCATAGTTTGTGCAAAAGAATTGGAGCATATGGGAGCCACAAACACCAAAATGCTATCTTACTTCAATCATAGAAACTGATCTTTTTATGGCTGTGAAGAACTTATTGTTTTTAAAAAAAGGAAGAGAATAAAATTTATATATCTTCATAGTCTTTGTTTATCATTCTTACTTCAGTTTGCAGTATGGTTTTTTTGTTGAGATGATCACTCATGATGGATTCACCCCAGATTTCCTTTTCCTGTTCATCCTTTTCCCTCATGTTTAGTTATTTATGTATTTCTTCTGGGACTTGCCTGATCACAGTTGACATATTATCTGTGCCTCGTGATCACTGTAAAACTTCAAACAGAAGTCTTCTCTGGTGCACATATAATCAAGGCAAGTGTTGGCTTTCCATTCGAAAATTTCAAGAAATTGATTGAGTTGGAAGGAGGTCATTTCAAATACAAGAATACAAGGGGATCCTTTCAGAGACAAGTGAATCCATTGAGATACAAGTAGGTCCTTGGAAAGGATTATCACAAAGAGCAATGTGAAAGGAAGATAGACAAACAAATCTACTTTAAGGCACTTCTGAAAATTTGATAGTCTGATCCTTGCCAACGAAAGCGCTAGACTTAGGAAAGACTAAGTTCCCTCCAGCTGCAATTTCCCCCGCTTCTGTAAACCAGTAAGAGAGATAATCAAAGCAAAGATTCTTGGCGACATCATACCAAGTAACCTCCGGTCTCACAAAATGACCCTCCTTGTCGAAGAGCCCATCAATCAGTTTCATCAACATTTGATTGCTCCTTTTGAAAATTGGTTCCTTTACTTCGAAATCTGGCCTTTGTTTACTGAGCCATTCAGAAAGAACGGCAAAGCTCAGCATCTGACCTGCGGGAGTGAGGTTTACGTCGTTGGAGCAACATATGAGCCCTCGAATCCCACAACAAGCAAACATTGTCAGGTAACCTAAGGTCGGCGATTTGAGAGAGTCTCCTCTCCAGTCTTTCTTGAAACTGAGCGCGACAGCCTTATCCTCCGAGCTCGCCTCTTCGTTCAGGATGTAATTTGCTTCAAAGTATTGAACAAGATAGGAGTCGAGAACTTTGAAGAAAAGTTCTTGCCATTGTTGTATGAGACCGATGTCAATGACGGAGTCGAGGTTGCTAGTATCCAGCAGACGAACAGTTTTGGAATGATTTGCTTTTGAGCTTTTTTGGGAATTCAACCATTGAATTGCCTGACAAACCGCATCCACGCCCGTCTTCTTCTTCTCACTTTCGGGGATTTCAGGTTCTTTGAGAAACGTTTTTCCAGTGAGTAGGACGGAGTCTAATAGAACCTTGAGGAACGATGAAACTCGTGTGGCGGAGGGCCGAAGAGACATCCTCATGCATCTCCAAGTGTGATGCCAAAAAGGGGGAGCTTCGGGAGGGACTTTATCAGCGAGCAATCCGGTCTTTGCTAGCAAAGTGTTGAAGAAGCCCAGGGCATGAGCAGGCTCTCCTTTGTGGGAGTTGAACAGCTCTGGCACTAAATCAGAAAATAGTCAGACTCTTTCTTGATCAACATGAACAATTTTGCTCCACTACTGACTAGTATGATCAATTGCTTCAAACCAGCTTTGGGCGTTGAGTTTTGTCCTTATAACCACATTGTTTACACCTCCATCAATACAGTCCAAAAAAACTTGATCTAAAGGTTCGCCCAATCTTCTTCTTTCCAATAAGGAATTGAGTGCCTTCCACGCGGTTAGCTTTCCTTTCTTTGTTGTTTGATTAGTATTGTACGGCGATAAAAGTTCCTTGAGTTCTTGTTCCATCGCAGAAGATCCTAGAAAAAAAATCACTAGAGCAAGGAGAAAAGTCAGCGAAGGACAAAGTGAAAATAAGTTGGACTGTTTCTTACCCCCAGAATTGTTCCCGCTTTTGTTTCCTTCGCTTTTGTTTGTTGTTTCAACTTCATCCAGTGTTTCAGCTTCATTCAGAGGGCATTTGCCAGGGCCAACTTTCTTTTTCGAGCTGACCAAGCTTGACGTCTTTTTCCTGGAGGTTACGGAAGTTGGAGTGGTTGAGGGACCGCTACTGCTTGTAGAATTTGAATTCTCGATAGGCACTTTGGTTTTGATTCTTGTCCTCAATTCGCGTGTTGGAACTACTTGAGCCTTGACATTTATAAGAGGCGCTGTACTTTCAGCACTGCCGCCTTTTTCTTGTGAGATAGCGGAGGATTCCTGAGCTGAAGTCGGCGGTGGAATTTGTTTTTCAGGGCCCTTGGACGTTGTATGAACAGGAGGTGATTGCTGAAGGTGGGTTTCAGGAGTGTCTGAGGCTTCAGGGAGAGTAGACTGCAAAGGAGATGCAATCGAATTCGTATTTTCACCCGCTGGATTTGAATTATTCGAACTTGGCGGGAAACTAGCTTCTTCTGTTTCTGGGAAGGAGACGCGAGGGTTTTGAGGTATCTTGATGTGGCTAGAGTCGACGTTAACGGAGGTTCCTTCGTCCAATATGTCAATCTGTGATTCACAAGAACTTTCGTTTGTTGTCACAAGAACGTTTCGGTTTCCAGATTCAAGGCTTGAAGTTGTAGAATTCTCGATTGAAGCGGTACCAGGCAGATCTCCAGATTGCTTGTCTTGCACGTTTGAATCGCAGTCTGAAGCGTCAAAAGCTTCAACAGATCCTCCATATGTGGTAGCAAGGTTCTGGACCTCATTGTCCAGTATGATTACCACCTTATCTTCGGGCGGGAGAGGAACCTGATGTATAATTGCTGATTCAAGAAAGAAATAAGCTCAAGCCGCACAGCCAGGACCAGGAAAGAAAGTTACTTACCAGTTCCAGTCTTCTGGCATCGAGACCTCAGGTTTTCCAGGTCAATTTCCATCGGACGGGTAAGACAATCAGACAGTCTAGCCTCTTCCAAAGCGGTCATTAATTTAGAATAAGTGAGAAGAGCAGCCGAGGCTCGTAAGGGTTTGCTCTCGGATTTGTCTGCCTCCGCCGAGTTTGAATCACTATGATTGTCTATTCTTGATCGGACGTTTCTTTCGGAGTTTGCGCTCCCAGGAGAAGAGGCTCGCTTTTGATTACCAGGGTGTGCACTCTCTAAAGTTTCTAGTTGAACCAAGGGCATAAAGCTCGTAGGGGTAAAAGTATTTGACAGTGACTCAGGGTTTCGCCCAGCTCCAGGCGGCTGAGATCCCTGGACAAGTATTTCAGGAATGCCACAATCGATCTCGGTTGAGGTTTCGAAGAGAGCTGGAGATGTTTTTCGTTTTCTAGTCGGGGGAGTTCCTGCCGCCTGCTGAAAATTGCTAGGTATGCTGCTAGCAGTAGAGGCCTCAAAAAGTATTCCAGGTGATTTGATGCTCATTTCAATCTCCGTTGTTGTGCAGGAGAGCTCTGGAGAAATTTTTTGCTTTTGATTCGGGTAAGCTTCTAAAGCCTCCTGAGAGTTGGCCGGGTGGACACTGATTGTCTCCAAGTTGATAGTCCGATCAGCCAAAGGTGTTGACAAACGTGGGGTCTTATCTTCTCCTTCCTCGTCGGAAAAGTGAGTTTCAGCTAGGGACTTCTCCGCCGTCTGAATTGCAAGCGAGAGCTGATCGGAGATAAAGTAGGCTTCCTCATTGGTGTTTGTAGTCGTAGTTGCCAAAGAGTAGATCGCTGGCAAAGATGTAGGCTTGGAATCCAAGAAAATCAAGGAGTCAGTATCATCGTTACCAATATGCAAATTAGTCAATTCTATTTCTTACTTTTGTACTCGGCAGAGATTGAGCGGTCTCCATTACTTTGTGAGAGTCGATTTCCACAAGTTTACCTTCGGTTTCGAGGTTGGTGTGGCAATCCGGTGGCGGCAAATTGGCATCTTGATCCATGACGGACGGTTCTGAAAGAAGATTGGGCACGAGATTTGTTTGAGAATCAGGCGAAAGACCTGCGATAATTAAATCAAGACCGGCTCACTCCTGTGTAGTTGGCGAATCTGGTCCACGGGATGAGCGCCGATTTGTTGAACGTGATATGAAAGGAACCAACAAAGGAGTTTTCGTCTGGGGAATGATCGCTTTTGGGAGGATGCAGAATCTGGAGAAATTGTAGAGGCCCTGGATGTTTCAATTCCCAAGAACCTTGCCCGAACCGCAGGTAGATCTTGAAGCGGACCCGGTCACGTGACAGGGAGCAGACGAGGCAGTTCACGGCTTCCTCAATCTCGACCACTGAGTTCAGGAGGAAGTCTCCGGACTCATTTTCTTTTTTTGAATTGTTCTAAATAGTCTGATAGGTAATCAATCAATATTGCACATTGAAAGTGCATCACAAGAGAAACAATTATAAGAGAGAAAAACAAATATATATATTCAAAGGGATAAAGTAAGTAGTAATTTATACACAAAGAAATATTCGATTTTTCATTAAATCAAGAGATATGTTGAAGAGATAGAGAAGATATTGATCATTGATTCAATCAATTAGTACAAAAAATCTTTTCTCAAATGTAAGGCAAATGAAACCAAATCGAAGAAAAAAATTGAAAATCTCAAACAAACGCAGCTTCTTGAGCCAAAAGATTTTTTTTGTATCTATGAATCAATATCTTCAATCAAAAGCTTCCATGACATCTCGAGTGAAACAAGTTGATTTGACAAGTTTTGGTCGAATCACCAATCAGTACCCCAAAGATCTTGATCACCCATATGAACATGGCGAGTTGGTTTTTTTCTTTCAAGGTGCTTTGTGATGAGGTCTCTTCGTTCTTAAATTTCCAAAAACACGATATCAGTCAGAATTACGAATCAAATAGAAATCCAAATACCGAAAGACTTACAGATCAGAAGACGAGATCTTTTGAGATTTATGGTTGTTCGGCTTTCATGATGAAAAAATCGCTAAAGAAATCACTAACAGATATCAGCAAAGTTCAATGAAAAAAAGAAGATAAAGGAGTATTTAAACTTGGTGAGGAACTCTAGATGATTCAACTTACCTAAACTACACAACATTGAAGGGAAAAAAATTCAAACGTGACAGAAAGAGTTCATCTTTTTGAAGTAGAAATAGGTGAAGGTTGAGATTGAAATAAGGATGATTTAACTGATTGTCTTTGGTTTAGTAATGATACTGAGTTGATCACAAAGGTAAGCTTTGATAAATATATAAGCTAAAGATGTAAATGAAGTTGTATGTACTATAGTGTGACAAAGAAAGTATGAGGTGAGAATAATGTTGTTAGAAATCACCAAAGTTAACCCGTTCTTATAGTTATGAGAGATCTAAGAGTTGCAGTGTAAGAGACGCACACGAGTGATAGCAAAGTTCCATCTCTCTTCAAGCATCAAGAAATGTCTTACTTCAGCTTGCCGACTGTTGCGATATTTCGAATATTGAATACCCTTTCAAAAAGCTCCGTACTCCAAATTGAAGCTTTTCATTTTCGGAAATTTGAGGGTGCCCATCTTCAATTTAACTAACAAGAGTTTGATTTTGAATGATGATCATGATGGGGTAACTGTTTAGGAGAACTAGAAGGAGTGGGATATGCCAAAGTTGAATGAGACTAACAAGGTCCATGAATCAAGGATTAGTTTCAAAAAAGAAAGAACCAAAGATTAAATCCAAAATCAATCAGCTCTCAGATTTCCAAGGTTGGTCATATCAGAATAAAACAACTGACCTTCTAAAGTGGTATTTTTGTAGCTTCAAGATTCCCAGCTTGTTCAGTCAAACTCCAACCGATCTCTTTAATCCAATCTTTAATTTCTTGATCAACATTTAAACCAAGACAAGATTGTAATCTACTTAAAGAAATCGATCTAAAACAACTGGAAAGACTTTGACTAATCCATCTTCTAATTAATCCATCAAAGTCTTTGATGATTGAAATTAATGGCTGAAGTGATTCAAATCGGAACTAGATAATAAACTCCAATATAAAACAAATTTTCTTGATTGTAACGTAGATGATGGTTTCAATAATAAATTGATTGATGTTAAGGTTCCTTGTGGGATGAGAAACGTAGCCTGTGGTCTTTAAAGAATGGCATCAGTTGAATTCTAAACAAGAATCCCGATTTAAACCTATCCTTCTCACCATTCGATCTTTCTCCACACATACTCAAATATAATGAGAAATCCCTATCAAACGGTCTCAATTCTCATTCTCACAACTTTAACATTCGATCATTTACTTCAATTCCATAAAAATTTCATCCCAACCGACTCGTTATGATCCTAATTCCTTTCATCATGAATTGTATTTACCAATTTTAAATCAGATTGAAACTCATTCGATTCAAGAATCTCAAGAACATCAAATCATCATCAAATGTTCAAACTTATCTATCTCTGATTCGATTCGTAACATTAATTCGAATTCCATTAACAAAGGTTGAAAAGTCGTTTTATCAAATCCAGTTGAAATCCAAGACGGTATACAAAGATCCTATGAATTCATGACCGCTTGTGTAAGTCTTTTTTCTTCTTATTTGGTTTCGATCATGTTGATCGGTTAACTGATTTCTGTTTCTGTTTTGGTTTATAGACTAACAAGAGTGTTTATGGCGTGACGACTGGATTTGTTGAGTTTCATCTTTAGTTTGGTTCAAAGAAATCATGGACCGAGTTCTGAAACTGACTTTATTTCGATTTTTTGATCATTTTGATTAATCATCTCATCTGAATCATCAATCAAATCAAATCAATCAATGAATAGGGTGCAGCAGCAAATACCAGAACGAGTGATGTAGAAGCCTCACAAGTCTCAATCCTAGAACACTTATTAGCAGGAGTGTATGGTTTCGAAATTCAAGACTTGTCCCAGCTCGTTCCATCGTCCGATTTAAACCAACCCTTGAACCTCTACTGGAGGCCGGAATCGATGGTGTTTGATTTTGAATGAAGATGTACGCGAAAGTTGAATGAGACTAACACTTATAATGCCGATCGTGAGAAGTTGTGATTTAAAATCAATCAAAGCAACAGAAATAGGTTTGCTTACCTTCATTTGAATCGACTGCAGGTTTGGTGGACGCTGAAGAGGAGCGGACGCGGGTCAGTCCCGGTTTGACTCAGGGGAGCACTTATGGTTCGAGAGCGGGGGAGGGAAGGCAGGCGAGAAAGCGGCAGTCGTCGGTCGGGAACTGCACACTTAGGTTTAAGCGCCTTCGTAGGTTCAAGCCTTATCTGAGAGCCAAAGGGCTTAGTAGCCCCAGAGAGTCATCCGCGCAGCAATGGCTTTGGCCAGACTGCGGACCTTGTAAGCCGAGAGCAACCGGTTAGGTTTAGGTTTTGCCTCTCGCCCAGCATCGCTGGAGAACCCGCCCTCCTCCGTACAGCCAACATCCCCCCTCATCCGCACTAATCCCTTCATCAAACACTCAAAACCACCACTCCCCAGTATCCCGGTGGTAAGTCTCTAACTTTTCCCATATCAACGTTCGAGTTTTTTCTAAGTCCTGCCTTCTTCTCTTATTTTCAGTTTGCCTCTCATACACATTCTCCTCATAAGATATAACGCTTAGGCGTGCTGTTTGGCCCAAAGGTTGTAGGCCTCTGCGCTACGAACCGGGGGGTCATTTGGCCTTCTGTGAATTATATCTTGTGTTGTTTGTGGGTATTGAGCGAGCTCCATCTCCACCGAATAAGATTGATCCGACATACTTCGCTCCGCTCAGTTGCCTCGCTTCAATCAATCCAAGGTTACAAGGATCCGCCTGATCTTCAACCAGGTGAGATTTATCATAAGAACTCAGACTCCTTCAATTTCAAAGGATCTAACATCTCTCATATGTTTTTCTCAGCTGCCCCCCGCTTTAGGTCCGGCACTCTTGCGTGATCTCCTGCTTTCACTTTCCTTGTCCTTGCTTTTCAATCTACTTAAACAAACCAATTGTTCGTTACTTTCTTCTGTTACCCAACTGTCCATTTTCTTATCCGACCTTTTTCACCCTTTCCCACAAATTCCGTTTGGGAAATTCCAGTGAGTCTTTTTGCTGGTTCCCTCAGTCTCAGGAAGGCGTTCGAAATCGAAAACTTCTGGCCTCAACTTACTTAAGTTCACCAAATCGTGAAAGACCTGGTAAGTTTTCCAAGACCTATATCACAAGCTGCACCCAGTTTTTCAATTTTGTGTGGTTCTCCTCATCAGTCCTTCGAGGATACGCTCTTCGGGTGGAGATTTCAAAAACATCGCTTGCCTGAACTCTTTTGTTAGCTTCCAATGCCTAGTCTCCTGGTCTCATCCAGCGGCGTCGCCCGAATTAACATACCCCTTTGCAGATTTTTTACAAGTTATACACTTGCCTTCCTCCGCACAGAGATTTCCTAAAAGAGTAAATTGAAACCACGATTTAGAACAGATTGCTGAGTTTCAAGTTCCATCTTGAATCTCCACAATTCGATTTTTGGTAAGCCCTTCCCCTCACCACGGTCCCGAGTTATGCTCCTATAATTGACCTTGTAATCTTGATTGTATCAGCTGTCCACCACTTTCACTGCCGGTTTTTTTCCACCACTTCAAACAATTAGTTGGTAAGTAATCTCATGATTGTTTCAAAGAGCTTCACTAACTCACTTTTGAATCTGCATCGGATCGCTGGTTTTGCCTACCTCAGCCTCTCTCGTAGTCATCCAGGTGTGACTCGGTTCACATCACACCATGGGCCGCTCACGGAATCGAGCTCGTAAGAAGAACCTGGGATATCCAACCGAAAACTTCAAATCGAAGACGTCCGACTGTTTTCTCAATGCTCGTCTACGAAGGGATCAGGAGAACAACATCGGAAAACCCTACCCTCGACGTCATACCGCCAGAACTGAGCGGAAGGCTTCTCTTGCCGCAAAGCTAGGTGTGCCCAAAGACACCACCTTCATCTTCAGAGACCGCGCTCAAGAGCGCGCGGAAGGCCCATACCTAGAGAACCTTAAGCTCAACTTCGGAACCACTGTTATTATCGACCGAAAGGACTCTTCTCTTGTCCTGGCTGTTAGATGCAACGAATTCAAGAAGATGTCGACTGAAGAACGAGAAAGCTTCCGGTTTGGGATTTCAACTCCGTTTTTACACGCCAGAGCCCGGAACGTCAATGAACTTCACCACTCAATTCAACTCTTGATTCTAGCACTTATCTATTGGGGTTGGATGGGTTGCTGCGGTTGGAGAGCAGGAACTGACCCGGGTAAAAAATTTGGTCAGTATATTTCCTCACTTCTGAATCCAAGCAAGAAAATAGTACTGACTAGCCAAGGCTGTTGCTCGCAGGTCCCTATTTGCTGAAGGACTTTTCAGTTAATGGAGTTGTAACCCTTGAAGAGGATCGTCAGCGAATGGCTGATTTCCGCAAGGTGCGAGATTTCTGGGCGGAAAGATTCTCTTCTCTGTCACTTTCCACCTTTGAGAGCAACGTCAAAATCGCCACCAAAGCAAAAGTTCCCGGATTTCACGACTTGGCGTGGGAAACGTCAGCTAGCGGCCGAGTGTTTGCTTCCAACCTCGTTGTTACCTGTTGCGGCTTCAACAACACTGAGCATGTTGATAAGCACGATTATACACGCTACTCTTACGGAATGTTCTCTCTGATCGATGCGGCTACTGGGGAGCCTCATCAAATGGAAGGCTCTGCGAGAAAAGGTAAAATCAAAGGAGCCTCTTTCATTGTGAAAGATTTTGGCATTGAGGTTGACTTTTCCGGATGTGACGGAGTGGTGGAAATGGTTTGGGACACTAGAGTGAGTTCCTTTGTCCAATTTTCCTTTGTGTCTTTGTTAGAGAACTAGGCTAAAGATGCTGTTGAATTAGGTTCCACATTATTCTACCGCCTCAACTGCCTTGGATGCGAACGGTGAAAGAGTACTTCATTTCAATTGTGAAGTTACTCGTTTTGGATCCTCCTGCCAGATTGCGACCTCTCTTGTGGAAAGGATCCAGATCGTGGAAAGTCGCAAGGGCAAGATGACTGAGGAGGAGTGGGAGATCTATGTTAAGAAGGAGATTAAGACTTATGAGGAGATGTGTAAAGAAAAGCTGATGCAGTTTGAGAAGGCACTCGCCTTAAGGGAAGAGAGACAATTAGCTCGAGCCGCTGAAAAGGAAAAGAAGGCAAGCAAAGCTCTCATGTCTAAAAGCGGTTGTTGAACTAGTGCCCGTATTCTACACAGGAATTATTCCCGTTGTTTGATCATGTGTTGACATCGGATTCAACAAAGACTCCCTTGTAAACCGATTCAACTGTATCAGATGGTTCATGTCTTTCAAAACAGTTTTGCGTGTCAGCCCCCTTCCATATTTTCTTTCTTTGTATTCTGTTTATGTTTTGTGTCACCCAGCCGGCACATACTTTTGCAAGCTGTTTCTTTTTCCCACTGTGTCTAGGCCAATCTCAATATTTTAAACAAGTCTTTCCTCTCCTTGGTTTGAAAACAAGCCTTTTTTCAAGAGTATCTCCTAGCCACACTTTGACTTGTTTTTCTGACTCGACGTAAATTCAATCATCAACAAACCTTGACCTTGAGTTGAATGACACAATTGCGCAATCAAGGTTGCTAGAAAATTTGAGAAGACCTTGGGAGAAGAAATGAAACAAACCAGCCAAGTGGCCGGTGTGAAAGTAGTCCAGTTTTGGGTTTGAGAAGCCTATGATCATGAACAGGTTGACTTGCAGCAAATATACCTAGAGCACATTTGACTTATTTACTTGTGTAACCTCTCACTCATCCCTGAAGTAGCCGGCAATTGAAGGACAACATGGATTCCTTCTTCAGAACTACAGTATTTGTTATTGTAAAGGATACGTGGGACTAAGGCCTGCAAAGGCTCTAATGGACTCTCTCGCACTGGAAGCTCAAACCAAATCAAAGGGAAAAGGGTTGGAGATGCATTCCTCTGATCTTGTGACCGGGCTGAAATCTTCAGGGGGTCTTTTGAAATCTGGAGAGGTGATTACTTCCTGGATAACACTGCGTTTTGTTACTGATTGTTGATGGTGTTCCATCAGATTGCCAATTGTTTGACACTGTAGATGTACCAGACGATTGTTGGGCTCTTACTGGGGACTCTTCGCCTTCTATCGAAACGCTGTGGAGATCACACTTTTCTGGATCAATCCGTAAACATAAACAGCAGAATCAAAAGCTGGAGCCAGATGAAACTTCCAGAGAACTGTGTGTTTCTTATCAAACACGTCTGAAAGACAGAATGAATTGAAAGTACGACAAGTGTCCCTTTGTCCAACAGATAAACCCCAATCAAAGTGAAAAAACAGACTATTGTTGACGGAGTTGAATATTACTCGTGTTCAAGATTTTGACGTGGGACTCCCAACACTTGCTTAAGCACCAAGACACAATCAAGCGAGTACAGGAGTCAAAGGCTTATGATAATCAGATTTTGATAAGGAATTTGTTGCCACAGCTTTTATGAGAATGTCGCAGTGGAAGTGGGATACAGAAAGAAGGCCTCTTTTTATTTGACACACAACAAAACTCAAACGTGTCCATTACATAATTCTGAGGAATATTTCTTTTTTTAATTGAGGCCAAACGGAAAAAAACATCAGACAATTTCATCAGGATATTTCTGGGTGGAGTTGTTTTCAAGTTCGGGAGAAATCTTACCATTTCCTGGGTCCAGGTGGTTCTTAGGTGTAATTTAAGAAGAATTTTTTCAATCTAAATGTAAAGGATTCCAAGACAACATATTTCAGTCAAGGCGTAATTGAGAGTATACATTGTCAGACCACTTACATCACTCGTTGGAGAACTTCATGATATTAGTCTCGTAGTCCATTGATTCAAAGGAAAGGATCCAAGGAAGGACAAGCCATTGAAACATCACAATCACGCTTTGAGGGTTGGAAATATTTCCTGAAATATGAGTAGATGGATGGAAACAAGTTATGAGTTGGAGGATCTCGCCGTGGGTTGCCGTAACTTCTTCACGATCTTTGATGCGTAAGAATTTGTGTAAATTACGAGGTAAATAAACTTGACCAAGAGCTATAGGAAGCCGGTCATCAGGGATATCGAGACCTTGTACATTAACCCATTCAGCCATTATAAAAACGTTTTAGTGAAGGTGTGAGATGGTTTGGATAGGATCTTTGATAGGAAGGATATGTTAGTGAACTTTGATTCAGGACCGCTTTTAATTGTCCTTTTATAACCAAGAATCGTGTTTGCTCCAACAGAGGTGGTCCTTTGGCTAAGATGGTCTCGGCTTGGAATGGCACGTGGACCGGCTTCCAAGAACTTGGTAGTTCATAGCGGCTTCCTCCAGATATGGGGATCTTCCCGTATCACAAATTGACAATTAAAGCGGTGTAGGCAAACACAAAGCCTAGTTTCAATTTAACGAGATGTGAATTTGGGAAAACAACAAACAAGTTATTCTTCTCCAACGGATCATCCACTGACTGTGAGATAAATACAAAGTACATATCAAGATGGGGAACAAAAGGAACTGACTTGTAGTGATGAATCTGGGAATGAAATTGTGGTAGAAGCCTGTGTTTCTCCAACAAACTTCCAGCGGCTGTAGATTTACATTCACCAGCATACGTGGGGATCCAAACCCCCCATTCTCTTAAATTATTCTGTTAAATTCTTACTGAACCCTCTTTCCCTTCACAATCAGACTTGGACCAGAAAATCCAATTTGTTCGCTGAAATTACCCATGCTGCCACACGATGTTAACGTATACATCAAGATAGAGTGATAAACAATTAAATTGCTATTTTGTGGCTGTCTGCTCTTTCACGGGAATTTCAACATAATTCTTGATCATCAGAGATATCCATATAGAAGTGACAGTTTTCAAAATCCGTTCTTTTTACAGAACCTCTTTTTTGGGTGTTGATAAAATCTAGCCATCTCCTAATAAACCTTCATTCATCAACTTCTACGCATAATCCATCATATAAGGGAGTATAAAACTTTTGACATGGAAGTATATACCGGTAAGGTCCCAACACTATGTTTTTTTTTTATTTTGTTTACCTTCATTCACAAGACCTAAAACCTTCCTTCTCATTAGTCTCCGCCGGAAGCCGTGATGTCATTCCGGTAAACGATCATGAGCATATCATTGAGATGAATGAGACAGCCGGCACGGATCTCTCGGGGACGCATAATCAAGAAGCGCAAGAAGGTAGGCTTGTTTCAAAACAGCACATACCAGTGATTTCTTGTTGTATCTTTTACTTTCAAACCTTCAACTCATGAAATGATGTCGTCGGAATTGTTCTTCCACAGCCACAAAAGATGATGAGGAAGACACCCCACGGGTCCGCGAGCTCAAAGGAGAAAGTTAGTCCTTCTCTTGACTCTTTTAGCTATTTTTTTTACTGTTGTATTGATTTGCGCCTTCCGCTCTAGTTGAATGTTTGAAATTTAAAATCACCGGTCTAGAAGGTATAATAGCCCAAAGTATGTATCTTTCATCCATAAATTTCTACTTTTAGCACGATCTTCACCAGTTTGCCACTAACATGTGTCTAAATATATCAAGTGAATGCCGCTTTCACCAGGCTTGAGGAACTTATTAATGTTTTGGCTGCTGGCACCGTAAGCGCACTTTAAATCCTTGGAGGACCTGACGGCTAGTATGAGAAGTGGGGTTACAGGTCTTATTCATATGATAAACTCTCATGTTCTTTTCCCAAAAATTATGTGAATGATGTCCGCTTTGAGGCGTTGCTTAGTACCAGAAATCCAATCAAAAAACACGTTCTGTTCTGTATCCTTGTTGAGATTGGACTTTGTGATATTCTATGACTGAAGGCGTTGAGATTTCATGTTGATGTTATTTTTTCTACGTGTATCTTTGAACCTATTTTTGACACATTTGGGTAATTCCTTGGGTACCTCACGCACACGCAGGATGTTTATTGAATGCGATCCACAGCAATTTAGTTTTAAATGAGATGGGGAGCCAAGAACGAAGTTCTCGTAGCTCAAGTTATTTGGAGGCTCTTGTGAAAGTTAAACCACTACCAATGGAGATATCATCTCCATTGAGCCTCCCTTAGAAGAAACTAGGCTTTGAGAAGGCGGCGCCCACTCAAATAGGGATGTCTTTTGATGTAGAGCCCAAGCCAAAAAGATATTCTTCAAGAAAAGATTTCCTCGTGTCACAAAGTCAAACCAATTGAGCATTTCAGAAGGCACGAGTGGAATTCATTTTATCATGGTTCATGTTTGTTTGTTACATGAATATGTTTTGAGAAAAATAGGTGCACGAGGACCCTGAGCTTTGAGTATTCTTTCAACAAACAGTAGGACTGGAACAAATTGATAGAGCTAAAAAAACAAGACCCGAGGGGCAATGAATCTTTGTAATGTTTCAATTTTACATAAGGGAGGAGCCGATAAGAAACAAGTGAAATCTCCAAATGAAGAACTACGCAATGATTGGGGAGGAAGAGCAGTGGGAGCTATAACAGTTGCTTATTGTTTCTCTGCTAATCCATTTCCTGACTTAAAACATTAGTATCATCGCTCAGGGAAGATGATCCTTGAATAGTCTCATCTTCAGAAGGAGACTCATATGACTTGTCTAGACAATCAGTCTCTGGTCCCAAAAGCTTGCGGATAGCTCTGTTATGAGCTCTCATTAAGGACCGGTTTGAATCAAAATCTTCTTGAAGGGAAATAATATCAACTTCCAGATCTCCAAAATTGGACTCGAGTTTTTCAACTTCTCTCATGGCTAGGAATGTACGAAAAATTGCAACCTCAGTCATGACGATGGGAAGGTGACTATATGCTGGAGTTCACAGATAAAAAAAACTTCTCACCACTTTTAAGAACAAGTTTCAGAAGGTCAAGTTCTCTCTTCAACTCCTGCACTGAAGAAAAGTTAATGTTTAATCAGTTAAATGAAAATTCAAATAGGGGAGATAACGGCTCACATTCCTGTACTTGTTCATGGTTAACTTGTGAGGGACCCGTGGTACTGTCGGCCTGGTTGTGATTGCAAGTTTCTAAATCCTGACCAGGTCCTGAAAATCATTTGCAAGATGAGCGCCAAAGAATCAGATATCTCGGGCCGATGAAAGAGAACATACTTTTATCAGACTTGTTCGACTCCAACATCTTTCCGAGGAGAAATTAGCTGCTTGATATGACAGACTTGGAGTCAGGAGGATTCGAAGAGGTTTCTAATTGTAGTGGTGTGTCAGTGGATTGTCTTAGGTGATATTATAGTCGTAGCGGCGGACCTTGCAAGAAGCTACTTGAGAAGGGAATGGAAGACAATCAATCGAGGTCAAGCAAGTTGGGAAATGAACTTGATTGACTTGGCTCACTGGTTCTAGGGAAAGAGGATTGTCTGGATCAAGAAGATATGACCGTTCATTAATTCGTCAAGCTGGGTCTTCAAGGGACTGGAAAGGTGGGGAGCCAAGTGTTGTATATCACCACTCTTCTTCGAGAAATCTCAGATTGTCCGTGCTTCCTGATCGGAGCACCCTCGAAAGTCTTGGGGAGTTAACTGGGAGACTTTTATTAATCTTTTTGGGGGGCTAAATTGTCTTTGAGTGCATTTCCTCAGTCCACGTTCAGATATCTTGCAAATCTCATTTATGAGAGTGGGGAGAGACACCCCCAATTATATACGCTTCCCCTTGTTCGACTTATATGTATCTGTTCATCTAACTCGGACTTGTGAGATATATGAACGTTTCCCAACTTCAAGTCAACATGTGTGCCAAATCTCAAATAGGAACTTATCAGCACATTCATATTTCAGTTGCTCTGGTTTAATCATAGAAGAGAAGGGGGTTTGACTTTGAATTGTGCGGCATACTGTTTTTGAGGTCCTTTTGATCATCAGCTCACCACCGGAATAGTACCAAATGTGCAAAAGACCTCTTTTCTCTCACAAATTCTGTTTTCTTACAGTTTGGAAGACCAAAGCATGTTACAAGGACTTTCCGCCAGGCTTGTCTCAAACGTAATGAGATTGATTGATACATCTCTCTGTTCATCTCCTTGTGATGGCTATAGTTTGAGGTAGACCCTCATGTTCCAAGGGAGGGCATTATACATAGTCATGATCTTACAAGATTTTATGCCTTTGGTTCTCTTTCTATCTCTCGTCCCTTCTCGGACCAGAGTGTGCGGGTAGGACAGTAGATGTTGTGACTTGCTTGATTAATTCAGGCCCGGAGGCAAAAGTGGCTGGGAGCCCTTGAGTTCTGCTCAAGTCCCGAAAGAGCCGTGCACAAATCAAGGGTCAGTCGAGATATATCATATCATCAATCTTTTTCCTTCATTCAGATTCCAGCCCCAGTGCGTCATCTCCTCTTAACAGTTCTCATTCAGAAGACGCTCAGGTACTATCATTCAAGTGCTGAAGCTTCTTTACAGGCCGCATTTCACTCAATCAATTTTTGGAGCTGTTTTATATATATATCCATTTCCTCCTTCAAAGACTGTGACATAGACCAACCCCTGCAGATCCCTTCAAGAATTGGCAGTATGGAGTTCATAAACTTTGACGCCGTGCCAGCAAATGACGCTGATGATCACACTGGTCAGTCTACCATTCCCTCGCATTTTCCTTTATATACATATCCATTTACTTCTTCAAAGACTGTTACATAGACCAACCCCTGCAGATCCCTTCAAGAATTGGCAGTATGGAGTTTATGTCCTTTGACGATGTGCCATCAAAAGACGCCGATGATCACACTGGTCAGTCTACCATTTCCTTGCCTGATACCCCGATGTTGAATTCTCCCTTGGCTTTTATTCCAGACAATACGAGCAAACCACAGGATTCTTTTATAGACCAGAGTGGCGTAGACGGATTTCTGGTGCCGATTCCCTCAGAGTCAAAAGGTAAGCTCTTGCTTTTTCTGGATCTCCAGCCTTCCGACCAAAGGATGTAAGCTTACCTTGCAAATTAGTTGATACTTTGGAGAAGCAGGTTAACCATCTTCAGTCGCAGCTTGATAGTGGTGGGTTTTTTAAACTGAGGTTATTATCAGTGGCTCTGTAGATTCTTTCAACGCTAACAACGAAGTGTTTTCTGTTTCAATTGGATATAGCCCTCAGAGACTTGAAAGTGCTCAAAGCCGAATGTCAATATTTGTCAGTCGAAACATCCGACTTGAATAGCACCTTACACTTGAACCAGATCCGCATCAGTGGACATGAACGAGTCCTCCGCAATCTCTTAGGCACGGAGTATATGGAAGAAGCCTATAACGCTCCTCGCGAACTGCACAAGGCGCCAGATTCTGTTTGAAGCAGGGAATGGAATTGATTCAAGAAAACTTTTTTTAACCTCATTCATAATCCTTAGTTGTACAGAATGATCATATGGTCCAACTTTTATACACTTTTATGGTTGAGCTCAATAAGCCCGAACCCAACTTGTGACGTGATTTGTCAACAATCCGGTTGAGAGGCACAGCAGTCAACGGAGTTCCGTGATAAAAACAGACTTTCTTGAGCCTGAGTGAAGTACCGTGGCCCTAGAGCCAGTACCCGAGACCATGCTACTGGCCGGTGCCCCCCACAGACCGCAAGAGCAGTCGACGCACAACCACTGCCAGTCAATCAGTTCGATCTTCCCTGCTCTTCCAAAAACCTTGTGTTCTTCGATCTCCTCCCCCTGCCGATGCGAGTTGGAAGGAAACATGTTGAGCTTGAGCTTCTTACAATGCCAGATTCAGAGAAGTTATTGAGCTGAACTCCTTTCAAGCTAGCTCAGCGCTCAAGATGAGAAGGAAATCCAGCCTCATGTAACTTATTTCTTTGTCAAATTCCCTTTGATCCAAGTTCAGTAAGTCATGAGAGGAGACGTTCACCCTACTAATGAAAGAGTTTTCTTGATGTCTCTTCCATCAGAGATATCAGCCTCAGCGCTCAACATGCTGCAAAGCTGATTTCGCTCAGTCTCCTATTGGTTCGGCGCGATGAGTAACTGTGAGACCAGTCAGGCTTTGAACAATCTCCATAAAACGCTTTTCTCTATTTGCTACCGCCTCCCTCACCTTTTGTTTGATCAAGCTTCTTTAAGTATTGCTCTCTGATTTATATTCCTCTTCCTCATTTCACTAATCTAAAGCACAAATATTGCGCGAGTCAGAGACTCTTCCTTTGCAAAGTATCCCTATTCAACTACATCTGCTTTTCTCTTTGTATCTCATCTTCTTTTGGTTATCATCACTTCATTGATTGAAGCTCACTTATTTATTTAAACACGCTAGACTTCTTGACCATTAAACATATATTCTCTCTCTACTTCCATCTTTGCTCATCAACTATCAAGATCAATATTTTTCTCCTGTAATCAACATGCGCCAGAATAAATCGGTTGGGTCCAAGCGAAAGCTCGAAGACACCAAATTTGGTGAGGTTTCAAGGGGTAAGGTCTGTTTTTATGCTATTATCTACATTGAAACTGATTTGTGGAATGCGATTTCAGGCACTACAAGCCACCACCATCCTAGAGATAGACCCAATGAGAAGGACATGAAGGCATCTTTATCAGAAGCAGGCTTTGATATTGAGGGAGGTAAAGTCGGCGACAGTCATCTCTCCAAATTATACAAGAAACATGTCTTTGAAAGTTCGAAAGCTCGGAAACAAAGCAAAGACTCTACTCCGTACGACGAACAAGAAAGGGCCAGAATTCAGTCGACCAGATATAGCAGAACCGTGTATTTTGATCAGGATCCTGCGGAGGAGACAGAAATTCGAGTTGAAAAAGGCATAGTCCTTCCTCCGGAGGCTCATTTGTTTTCCTTCTCCCCCACAAATGGACCAAAAAGTAGGAAATTATCTCCATATCTGCAGTTCAAATTGCAAATTGCTTACCTCCTCTGTACACTTAGGTCCGGTGGCTTCCACAAGCTCTGCTTCGAGTCATCTGATTCCTGAACTGGAGAATGGTGTTTTAAAAAACCCATCTACGGGACCTGTAAGAGCACGCAGGATTTCCGCCCGATTGTCCGCCTTGCAGGCGGTTTTGACAATTCCAGAAGAGGGGGAGTCGATACCAACAGTTTATTCAGACACAAAATCACGCGGGAATCCCCGATCTCATCCCCAGCCCAGAGTTCAGAGCCGCAGGACCTCGGAGAAGGTCAAGAAGGTCAAAACCGTGTCTCGAAGAGCCAAAGATCAGCTGTTAAAATCCGAGTTATACAGTAGGTCTCTGGTTAAATACACTAACATCAGTATTTTTTTTAGGGCTGACGAATGTATTTGATCAAATTTGAAATCCCTGTCAGGCAAGGAACTTGTGATTCCAGAATGTGAAGAAGACGACCACAATGATATTGACAAATCAGTGGCAGATGCCGAAGAGATCAGGATTGAGGAACAGCAAAGCACAGATTTACAAGAGGTTGGAAAGAGTAAAGGTGAGTGTTTGAAAAATCGCATCTTTGAAAGACTCCACACTTTGTAAGACCCTCACATTTTATATAAAATTCACAGGAAAGGGAGCACCTCCGGGTTCCAATCGTCTTCCCAAGCGAATCTCGGCCGCTCCTGCTAATCGTTTTGGCTTGCGAGTCTCCCAGCGTCGACGCACCCGTCCTGCCTCGCCTGTCATCCATCCTGAGAAAAAAACACGGTCCAATGCATTCTCTGATTTGGGAGGCTCCAGCGATGAAAACGAAGAAACCAGCGATGATTATCTTCCTTCGAGTGACAATGAGAGTAACGAGGAGGGATCAATTGCATCAACACCAATAATCAAGTTGTCAGATGCTCATCCTCGACCAAAAGCAAATCAAAAAACGTTGGCCCAAAGCCGATGGAAGTCCATGAATTGTCACACCAAAAGTCTGAACCACCTTCCTCCATCATCTTCTGACGAGACAACCCAAACTCCGCAAAGGACCAAAAGGAAAGTGGCTCCTATTTCACTGAGTCCTGATTCCAGCGAAGATACTCCTGATCTGCACGAAACTTCAAACTTCCGAGAATCCCCAATTCAAACAAGACAATCTAGTCTTCAAGATTCTTTCTTGAATTCAATTGAGGAGGGCGAACCGGAGTTGACATGTGGGGGAGTCCGGAAGAGGTGGAAAGGTAAAGGTCGTGCTGTCAATCAAGAACATAAACCGGAAGACGAAGAGGACGGCGAGAACTCCACAGGATCCTACAACATACTTCAACAGACTTATTCAAAAGAAAATATTGACAATGTGGAGGAAGTAGAAGACGAGTGGGAGGCGGGTGATTTATTTGGGGAGAACTTTTCTGCAAGTGGCAGAGGCGCAGCAAAGGATTTTGATGATGATGCAAATCTGGACAGACAATCTCAACATGATTTACCCGAAATCAACAATAGTGCTGGAGTTGAGGATTTCAAAGAGGCCATTGTTCTTTTGAAATGTCTGGTCACTAACCATTCTAAACAGATCGAGAGAATGAACAAGAGTCATTCAAAAGAGATGGAGAGAATGGATAAGAAGATTGATGTGCTAACAAACATGATAGACACCTACATCAACAAGACCCCCTCTACAGCTCCGCGAGGAAAGAGAGGCGTTTCCAACTCTTCACCAGAAAGCTCTGATGAAAATGTTACTCCCAGAGCAGGTCGGATACGAGTGAGTTTTTTCCTGTGCAACTTCAAGGCATGTTCAGTTAAAATGAGTCTTTTCCTTACTGACATATCCTTTCAATAGACTTTGATCAAGACCCTCATCAGGACTCTATACGGCCTGAAGAAGAATGTGAAGACTGTTCCTGATGGATCCAGCCCCGCTGAAAAACAAAAATGGATTCAAAATATTTCCATTGAGGAATTACTTGACAAAGCAGAAGACCTTCCAGATGCGATTCAGCCTCCTATACAATCATCAGGAGATCCAAGTTTCCCCTATCCGGACGGTCCTGGCGGAGAGAAAGCTAGCAGCAAAGCGCTTCAAATCATGTGGGGTGTTATGCAGCGCCTGCGTGTTGGGTCCTTTCGTCCCGATTTTTCAGGACCCCTCGCTTCCACCAGTAACATTTTCCTCTTTCGGATGGCTGCTGTCATTCTAATTAAACTAGTTCAATCAGGCGAATACACGGGAGTTCATTCAGAAGACCTTGAGCCAAAAAAAGTCTTGGGATTGATTGTAAGCCACGTCAAAGGCACATGGTTCCGGAAGTGAGTTTACTTGTGGCTTCTCAGAATCTGATCAATACACTGACTATAAGCTCTTGAATAGCTACCGTGAACAGCGTGAATGGTCTCAAGAAAGACTTCAAGCGCGAGACAAGAGCAAACTCCAGAACAGTCGCATTAATCGAGTAAATCTCCTTCTCTCCTTCCTTGTACAGCATTTGGGGATTATGACTTACTGAACTCTCTCTTTATGTCATCTAGGTCCGGGAGGGTCGACTTGCCTATGTTATGTCTCATAAATCCTTATGGCCTCTTTCAAAAGTCATCCAGGACTGCTGTAGTGACGACGAGACTGATTATGAGGATGAGCAGGGTCTCAAGCATTGTAAGGTCCGTATCTTACAATGGAGAAGCTCTGCATTGGATTCTGTCTTTCAATCTATAGACAAGGCAAGACTCCGGGACAACTCCATCAAGCTACTGTCCGGGAACCCCCACAGAGTGCGAAGCCGAAGTCACAATAACCCAATTAGCAGACTAGGACCTCCCCAGGAGATTCATAAAGATTGCATCTCTAAAGATTACTATAATAGCCTCGAAGCCTGGGAAAAGTTAGATATCAAGATCATCAATAAGTCAATCTTGACAACAGTGAGAGACATGATATCCAAAAATGTTTTACCAGCACCTTTGTGATATTAAACCTAGATTTCCATGTTCCGCTTCTGGCCCTTTGTTTGATGTGATATTCTGTGTCTTGCATGATAATAGATTAATATACTGATTCCTTCCTTACCCAGATTTCTGAATTGAACAAACCGTATTGTCCGAAATGTGAGGATTTCAAACTGTGTGAAGTGAGACGGGAGTGTTTGCCTAAATGATAGCTCTATAAGAACTGAGTCATTTTCAAACAATGATAATATTTCATAAATGTTCACAAAAGAGTTCTGTTTGACGTTGTGAAGGTGTCACCCTCTATTTCATAAGGGACAACTCTAACAAGTTAGTATTTTTACATACGTTAAAACTCGACAAGTGAAGTTGAGAGATATGTGTAAGAATAAAAAGACGTTCAACAACGGATACCGGATACCAGCTCCTGATTCCCACCTTTTGTAGAGATAGACTTCTCCAGTGCACGTCAAGAGATACTCTCAAAGTGGATGAATCTTTCATTATGTTGCCGTCGAACACAATCCGCTCTTATGTTTGCCTCTGCTCTAGATGTAGCAAGCTCACTCACGTTTTCAACGGCATTCAAGTTCCAGGATTGCAAGTTTCACCTGTTGTTCATCAGTCTCACCAGTTGAATGATCAAAGGTTACGAATTTTAGAATCACTCGACAATTTCCTTGATGATTCAGTCTCAGACAAATCTGGTCTCTCAAATCCTTCGACCGAAGAAAACGACTCCAATTCACTACTGGGAACTCAGCCTGATCTGAGAGAGCCTCTTGAATCATCCCCCACCAGTCGAATGGGTGTTCAGTTGGAGATTCAGACGGATGATGTACTAGATCCCGACCTGGAGATCACTACTTTTGATCCCAGTAAGTAATCTTTGAGCTTTCTGATTATTTCCATTTTCAATTGACTTATTCCCTTCTTTTGCCCAATACTTGCAGGTCATTTCATGCAACATACTCTCAACGGGGAAAACCCATCAGTCATCCATGCTTGTCTCATTGCTTCATGCATGTCAATTTTCGATCACACTTCTCTCTACAACTCGTCATGGCTTTTACAAGCACAAAGAAATAGCTTAGAAATTCACATCAAATCCTCAGAATCTAGTCTTGAAGGTTTACTCCAGCCACTGGATTATACATCACAGCTGGCATTGCAGCGACTGCCAAAAAAAATTCAGACTGTGATGAGATGGTTGAATATTGAACCTTCTTTGGATTATTACACATGTTGTCCAGATTGCTTTGCGCTTTATCCTCTAGAACACACCTCCCCAGTATGCTCTCATCTGGATGATCAGGTGCCGGGATCCCTAGACCTTTTGTACCAAAATAATCAACCTGAACTATCCATCAAGACTACGGGACCGCCACAGCATGGCTCAAAGGTCTGCTTGGCACCTCTCTTTCAAAGGAACCAACAACCTATCCGGAAATACGCGGTTCAGGACTTGATTACATGGATTGCTCGGCTTGTCTGTCGACCCTCAATGGAAGAAGAGCTTGACAAATCACTTCCCAACTCAATTCAACCTTTTGATGAAAGAGAGGCTGTTCAGGATATTCATCAATCCAAAATTTGGAAGGAGTTCTGTGGAGAAGACGGTGTACAATTCAGTTCAAAGACTGGGAATTTAATTTTTGGAATGTTCACAGACGGAATCAATCCTTTTGGTAACAAGAGCAAAGGCCATCGGGCATCAGATACCTTTATAATCATGGTGTGCTTAACATTACCCTATGCCATCCGATTCCTGCCTGAAAATCTATATCTTGCGGCAATAGCTCCTGGACCTAGAGAACCCTCGCTTGAACAATCCAACTGGATTCTGGGACCCGTTATCTCTGATCTCAAAGAGCTTTGGCATAAAGGTGTTTTCCTCTCAAGAACACCTTCCTACCCTAATGGTCGCCTCATTCGAGCTGCTTTGTTGACATTCATCGCCGACTTACCCGCGTGCCGTCGATCTCTTGGCCTAGCAGGTCACAGCGCGGAGGCTTTCTGCTCATTATGCTATCTCCCAAAATCAGAAATTAACAACATTGATCAAAGCACCTGGATCCCGAGGACGTCCGAGGAACACAGGACCTGGGCCACTGCTGCTCGTGATGCAAATACCGCTGATGAACGTCAAAAAATCTTCAAAGAACATGATGTTCGTTATTCAGTTATCCTAGAGTTAGACTACTGGAGGGTTACAGACTATCATGTCATAGACTTAATGCATAACATAATTCTAGGACTATTAGCTCGCCATGTCACAAGGTTTTGGTCTATGTCTGAAGATGTCTTGAATAGTCCACCCCCAAAACCCATGACCGCCATTCAAATTCGTGATTTGGTTGCAAATTCTAAGAGGCGCATTCGAAAACATTCAAGTCATGGTACTCGTGAGGAGCCAGGAGAAGAAATAGGAGTATCTATGGCCAATGCCCAGTTAGGAGAGGATACGTCTTCAGGAGATGATCAGTTTGATCCACTTGATAATCAATTCTACGGTTGGGATGGAAGCTACTCTCATCTGCCTAAGTCTGAGGTGGTATTTGATATGAATATGGTCCAGTTGATAAATCAGTTCTTGCATAGAGTCCACGTCCCAAGCTGGATTTCTTGACCAATCAAGCAGCTTGGTAGCCAAGGTCATGGAAAATTAAAAGCTGATGAATGGCGAACTCTAGTCACAGTTCAGCTCCCTCTCATTTTGACTGTCATTTGGACCGGCTCAAACCAGTCAAATGCAGCTCTGCTGCACAATTTCTCTCACTTAGTATGCCTCACCAATCTAGCCCTCAAGCGATCAATGACCTCTGATTGTATTCAAAAATATCGAGTGCATCTCCACACGTACCTCAAGGGATGTCTGAAGCTTTTTCCTCACTGCGCCTTGGTACAAAACCATCACATGGCTATCCACCTTGCCGATTGTCTTGAGAAATTTGGACCTGTTAGAGCTTGGTGGTCATATCCCTTTGAGAGGTTGATGGGTGCAATCCTTAAGGCAACTCACAACAATAGGCTTGGTAAGTCACACTTTCAATCCTCATTCCATCTGTCTTCTGCCCCCTCATCTTAAGGTATACTAACACCATGATCTTATAGGTGAGATGGAGATCACCTTTGTCAAAAGCTTTTGTCGAATGGGAAATCTAGCGGCCTTACTGCGAGACGAGACTAAACTTCCGGAATCCTTGAGACCTTATGCCAGTCAACTACACAGCATATTTGAGCCCCAGGATTTTCAGCCAAAGTCTTCTGATATCTATAATTCTCAGCCGCTTGATGACGACGTCTTAGATCAATTGGTCTTGCGCCTGAATGCAACGCAGGCCAATGATTGGCAATGGAAATCTTCCAGCACATGGTGTAGGATGTCTGCCGAGGACAGGATAAAGTACTCACCTGTTTCTTCTCAAGCGCATTTCAAGACAGGAGTCAAACATAATAACGTTCATTACCAAACCCACAAGAAGAGCCCAAAAAACACTGTGGTCCATGTTGTTTCTCAAACGAATGGAGCCACTTTATTCGGCAAAATCACCAAAATATTCTCTCATCGACGAATTCCTGGCCATGAAAATTCTCCTGTGGACGAAACCTGGCTGTTGGTACGGTACTACAAACCTCTTTCCGCAGGAATGCCAAATCCTTTTTCCCGGGTGGGAGAACCAGACCTTCAAGCTCACCTGCGACTTGAAAACTGGAGTAGACCATACTTGACACGCCTTAGTGAAGTTGTTGCCAGCTGTGCTTGGATAATATATGAAAAAGGAGAGATACACTATCTTCTTGATAAGAAGAGTATTGCTCTTGTATCACTGCACCGCTAGGGCTTTTGTTAATGATACAGGAAGGTATAAAAGGGCTCATCATACTTCTTTGACAATCTCTGCCCCAGTCTCCGTCAACAAATCCTCCCTTGCTCTCACAGAGAAAAAGATTTCTATTTGTGACATGTTCTCATCATCCCTGCCGTCATTATACACATTGGCTGCAAGATTTTGCCGCACCACGGGAACTGCTTTCTTTTCAGTAATTATGAGGGATCCCAAACCTATCCCAATAAAAAGTACATCTGATCTTTTGGCTGATAAACTCGTGCTGCATTGTTCTGGCAAGACTTCAGTTTCAGAAGACATTCTTCTACACAATAAGAAATGAGAGGGTAGTGTCAATTGAAGGTTGACCTGACTGTAAATATTGGCCCCTTTATGTTTCCTACACTCTAGTTTTGACAATATCTTGAAAGTTTCTTTTGGTAAAGAAATAATTGGAAGTAACTTTTCTAAGAGTTCCAAAATTGAGTGAAACAGTTTTAACATCTCAATATTAGGAGCCATGAAAGTAATAGAGGGGTGCAAATACCAGATCTCTCTGTTTCTGGTAACCTCGCAGACCTGAAATAGCTCAGTAGCTATCATTGATAAAGATATCTACCAGTACATAAGCCGTTGGGCTTGTTCTTGTGATGATCCAGACTCCAAATAGTTGAAGATGGTGAAGAAATAAGGGAAAGACTAGGGATTGTAGAAAGCAAACAATGTTTTAAAATGCATTACTTTGTAGATTATTGTGTGAAAATATAGAATTGAATATATAAGTGACTGTCCTAAGAGTTCCACATGCAATTCAGAGGGGGCTGCTGGATGTGGTGGTGTCAGAAAAACAAGATGTACACTCACCTAGCTTAATGAGGTCAGAAAGCATCAATCACAAGATGATGTGTCAGTACAAGATATGTGCTACTTTGAAAATGATATTGTATAGAGAAATATGTTAAAGTGGCACATTTTATTAACAAAGTGCCATCTGAATGTTGTGAGACAGATAAAAGGGGAGTGCAGACGCCAGGTTGCTGGGCTCTGCACAGACTTGAATGAAGTCAGGATGCATCAGATTTTGCAAGAGATGATGTGTAAGCGCAGGAAGCCAGGTGGGGATGTTCTTGGAGCAATGTTGTAGAGTTACTGATTGGATTTGAAGGGGATAAACTAGAGAGTGCAGAAGTCAAAATTGTTGATGTATCATTTTGAAGATTTGTAATTTGTGTAGTAAAATTGAACATGAGGGAATTTCCCAATTCTGCCACACTTTATTCACATTGGGGCATCTCAATCATCAGACAGGGAATAAGCCAGCTCAATGGGATATCACCTTCCTCACAAATGTAACAACTCATTGAATGTTAAAAACCTACATGTAATCAAATCATTACATGTAGTAATGAGAAGTTACACAAGAACATGTAAACCATACTTACATACAATGAAACACATGTAATTTTTGATTTACATACATGTACAGCACACAAGGTATTTATTTCTATGATATTGCTTCATATTCAGTTATTCTTTTGATTTCTGCCTTTGGTCACTATTGGCAAAGTGCCACATTACATATGTAAATCATATGTAATCAGCTGGTAGCAAGTTATTTGTAAATGTTCCACGTTGATGCCTTGCTTAATCCTCTGGGAATAAAGAAAATAGGGAGTGCAGATACCACTTTCCTGTGATCCACACAGACCTGAATGTATTCTGTTATTTTCTTCCTTTGATTACTATTGTAGGACTTGAAGAGCCACATTACGTATGAATCATATGTAATGAACTTGTATCAAATTATCTCTTGATTGTTTCATGTTGATACAGGGCACAGTAACCTTTGCGTATGGCATCAATACTGTGGGAGCAAAAAAGGAGGGAGTGCAAATACCAGTTTGCTGGGATCCACACAGACCTATGTATTCTTTCATTTTCTTTTGCTGGTTTAAGGTGCCACATTACATATGTACATCATATGTAATTGATGTGTAACAATTTATTCATGGTGTGTTTCATGTGGATACCTTGCCAATACCACCGCTTATTGAAATTCATGTTGTGCGCACAGAAAATAAGGTGGAGTGCAGATACCAGGTTCCTAGGATATGCACATTCATTGTCAAAGCACTGCATTACATATGCCAATCATATGTAATGAGCCTGTACCAAGTTAATTATGACTTGTTTTGTCAAAACACCATATTACATATGTCAATCATATGTAATTGATGTGTAACAATTTATTCATGGTGTGTTTCATGTGGATACCTTGCCAATACCACCGCTTATTGAAATTCATGTTGTGCGCACAGAAAATAAGGTGGAGTGCAGATACCAGGTTCCTAGGATATGCACATTCATTGTCAAAGCACTGCATTACATATGCCAATCATATGTAATGAACCTGTACCAAGTTAATTCAGACTTGTTTTGTCAAAACACCATATTACATATGTAAATCATATGTAATTGATGTGTAACAATTTATTCATGGTGTGTTTCATGTGGATACCTTGCCAATACCACCGCTTATTGAAATTCATGTTGTGCGCACAGAAAATAAGGTGGAGTGCAGATACCAGGTTCCTAGGATATGCACCTTCATTGTCAAAGCACTGCATTACATATGCCAATCATATGTAATGAACCTGTACCAAGTTAATTCAGACTTGTTTTGTCAAAACACCATATTACATATGTAAATCATATGTAATTGATGTGTAACAATTTATTCATGGTGTGCTTCATGTGGTTACCTCGCCAATACCACCGCTTATTGAAATTCATGTTGTGCGCACAGAAAATAAGGTGGAGTGCAGATACCAGGTTCCTAGGATATGCACCTTCATTGTCAAATCACTGCATTACATATGTCAACCATATGTAATGAACCTGTACCAAGTTAATTATTACTTGCTCCATGTTGATACCTTGCTCACTGACCTTGCTAATTGACATTCACACCCTGAGAACAAAAAAGGGGGAGTGAGAAACCAATATTTATAAGGGAGTGCAGAGACTAAAATGCCAAGACCTTTGTGTCATTATAAATTCAATATACATGTGACTTGCTGAAGATTGCTACAACATGGTCAAATTGTAGCATCTGAATTTTGTGGGAAGGAACAAATGGGGGGAGTGCAGATACTAGGTTACTTGTACCCTAGTTTTTGATAGTTTGTTACCAGGACTACAGGTCCATTGAAACACTTTAGACTTGGCTAAATTGAACCACAGATATTCTATGTAGAAACAAATGTCATCTGGTAAAGAAGTCTACAGTAAAATTTGGAGGTGATTTATCTGTTTGAGTGCCCTTAACCCTAACCCTAAGTAGCTCAGGGATGTCTGCTTGGCCTGTGATTGGGAAAGAACATATGGTTTCCATATGGAATCCACCTGGTGGAAAATATAGCCTTGGTTCTCCATCAAGAACCAGTTTTCCACATGTGGAAGCTGTTCAATGTTTGCAGTGCAAGGGACAATTCCATTCTTAATCAAGTACCTCTACATGTCTTCCATCACAGCTCTCTTTTCTGATTTGTTATCCTCAATCTACTAACATTATTTTCATCTGTAAGCCAATTGATCAGTAAGTACATCAAAGTTTCCTCCTTCCCATTGAATTGCAGTCTTGTTGCTAGCTTTTGCATCTTTGTCTTGAGAAGATTTAGTTTTGCTTTTATAATTTGTGTATTTCTTCAATTGTGAGCTACAAGGTTTTCCCTTAGGCTTTGACTTTGGAGGCAAGTGAGGTTTCTGGAGCCTTTTGATTTACAAGGCATCTTAGTTTTGGTGGATTTATTTAATGGGGACACCTGAACCGGCCATTTGTGCAAGTTGGATTGCTCCAGTGAGGACTTGACCGAGAGTCAATGGATCAATTTCTAGTTGAGTAGATCACGTATCAAAGGTTCGGTATGAAGTGTAAGAAGTGATGATGATTTCTTTGAAATCATGAAACTTGGCCCTAGCCTCTGAATTCCAACCTTGTTGTTTAGGTGTGGAACGGAAGCGTACCTCTCAAATCATGTCCCCTATATCCAATGTCCATGCGTTGAGCTCAGGATGAATTCGTATTGAAAATCACAGAACAACCCATGATATCGTTGACCAGAAAAAAACACCAAAAAAACACAATAGGGTGATCAACTTATCTTCTCAGCCACTCAGCACGAACCAATTATAAAACAACGACAAGAAAAAAAATAGTGAAGGAACTACTGAATGGAAACAAATGGATATATTTTATAAACATAGAGAGAAAGAGAGAAGTCACTAGCAAGATAATTTCCGAATTCTAAAAACTACTCCAAAACGTAAAATTCAAACCTGTCCAAACAAGAAATAACCAGAAAAAAGAAAAATATATCTACTCTAAAAACCTATCAGATTTCATAAGAGAACGAGTAATCCAATACCAAAGACTCATCATTAATCTTC